AGGATTTCCTCTGAAATGCCAATATATACTGACTTTTCAAGTCTTGGTTTAGTGGGGATTTTGTTCGATTGCATGGAGGATTTCATCCTAAGTTGATATCAGTTAGAGAACCACTGGAAAACCAGCTGGGAGTACTGGAGAGCTGTTTCGTCCTAGTTTGGGACTTGACTTGTTATACATTCACACACTAACACATATACAACGCACAAAACCTTCTGCCCCAACTTTCTTCTCCTCCCTTACTTGACATGATCATTCATCCATTTGAAGTTTATTTCAATTTGAATAGAATTTAATATGAACATGACTCACAAGGATTCATTACTACACATTCGTTGTTATTTATCTTCATTTACTTAGCAATATTTGTGTTCAATTTAATGTAACAATTATACATTTTACCACATACATGTAATTTGGACTGTGTTCTGTTGAGAATCTATTTGCAAATATCTTTTGGAATTCTGATGTCAATGATTTGGTGTTTCAGTTTATCATCATGAACTGACATTGGTTAGAGGACCATTCAGAAACCTGTAGGGACTAATGGACAGCTGTTTCGTCGTAGTTTGGGACTCTTCGGCAGTCTGCACCCTTTTGGTTTAAAACTTAGGACCTTCTGGTTACAAGGCGAGTTCGTAGAGCGTTGGGCCATTGGGATCCGATCCAATGGTCCATGAACTGGTAGAAGTTGGAATTCTAACCCCTCCCCCCACTTTTTCCAATAGTCCTCTAACCGGTGTCAGTTTATGATGGAATTTCGAAACCAATCAAATCCCTGCAAACCGACACTTGAATATTCGATGTCACCTTTAAAAAACACTAATGTTGTCAATAATAATCAGTCTTTCATTTTTATATTGGATATATGCAGCTGTAGAACTTGATGATAAAGTTATCGAAAAGAATATTTGATTGTTCACTAATCAATCTTTTGAAAGTTACTTTGCTTTTTTTTCATGAAAAACTCTTCTAAATGAAAATTTCCGTATTATTTTCTACTAATATACATAATAAGGTTGAAGGTAATATGCAGTGCAGAAGAAGAGGCAATCCATTAAAATAGTATTAAGCACAACCAGTCACATGACTTACCGACCATAAAATGGAATTTATTGACAAATCTACATGTTCATTTTTTTTGTATACCTTAATCTAATTGAGGCGATACAGAAGAAATTAAAAAAAAAGTGTTTATTATTAATTAATTAATAAAGGCTTCCTCTGACTGATTGCCCCCAACCATCTAATATCATCAAATCAATGTGCATCGTGATGGTGAGCTGCCTAGAATGATGGCCACATTGCAAACCTGACTGATAGTATTCAGTCTGCACCAAAGAAAGGACTAGATACAAGTTAGAAGTGTCCAGTCAAAGTGCTATTAAATTTACCAGGATGATGATGATGATGATGATGATGATGATGATGATGATGATGATGATGATGATGATGATGATGATGATGATGATGATGATGATGATGATGATGATGATGATGATGATGATGATGGCTCTGATTCCACATGAATCTAAACCTAGGTGATGAAATAAAATGTACTATCGCAGAAGGCCGATAAGGCGAAAGATTAAAAGATGCCTAATCGCTAATACATAAGTGGTTCCTTTTGGAACAACTTGTGTAAGCGAACAATATTGTTTCCAAGCAGATCTCTTAACAAGCTTTATCCTAATATACATAACTTTACAAATAAATATTAAATATAAGCCAGTCATGGATAATCTATCAATAGGATGATATAGAGACTCTGCATATAACTTGTGCAATTAGTCAAGACACTAATAACAATTCTGTTTTGACAAGTATAATGAAAAACCGCAAGATTAGATAGACAAGTGTTCAGATAGACGTAGTAGATAAAAGCTCAGCAAAAAAATAGTTAGGCTCAGTAATGTTAGATTCTAAGGTAACTAAATAAACTACGTTTTAATGATGCGATAAGACAAAGAGTTAGTATCGTTATCAGTTGGCTAAGGAAAGGATAGTGGCTTACTTAACAGTTCGAATGCCAATCGCTTCAGCTATATACATTAAACGAGTATAAATTCCATCGGGAGGATTCCATGAGATTCGATAAGTCACCTTGAATGCTTTCATTTTTTTTCCACCTACTGACCACTATCAAATAAATTCTACAAAACAGAGTTTCGGATAACTTTTGTCTATCCTTTACCAAACCACATTGCGATTTATCTAGGAAAGTGTTGGCTAAGTTGTCTAGAAATACGCGCAAAATAACTGTCTTCACAGGAACAGTCGAAACGATATGCAGAAACTGTCTAGGTTATCCTTCGTTTGATTCTCAATCATTATTGTAATGATGAATAGTTGCACAATCTGTATTCACACTCTTATCATTCTATTGACAAATCATCAGGATTATTTTATATTTATTTGCAAACTTATGTATATTAGAGTTAGACTTCATGAGATCTTATTGAAAACAACATTGTTCGCTTTTGTATGTTGTTCTAAATGGTTTCTTCTCTAAAGAAATCGATACAAACCAAACAGACACTGAAAATGAAGGTCTGAATATGACAGGCTAGAAAATATTTTGTTGCTGCGAGGTTATTTTTTTGTCTCACACCCACCACCATACCAAGGATGGAAGCGAAGACTGTTTGCGATTTCAATTAATCAGTTGCAGTCTAATGGTCTAACCTCAGTCAGTGCTGGTATTTAAACGTTCGGACAGCAAACTTTGAGTACGACTGGCATACATGGCAGCACAGGAGCAGGCGGACTGAAAAATGAGACCAGTGATGGTAACTTATACTTCACATTCATGCGAATCATTGGTTTTGTAGTGAAATTTATTCAAAGTCCAGTCACAAAAAAGGTTTACTTCATTGGACATAACAGGTGGATTCTTGGTATTCTGTCCATACATCTCCATTGGATTGTAGATTCAGGTAGAGAAGTTTTTTAGGAGCAAAAACTGTGAGCGGTTTTAATCGTTTAGTCTTAATCGATTTTGTAATGAAGCTTTCGAGGTAGCCGTTTTCGCAGAGAAGTATTTAAAATCAAAATGAAATTAGCAGTAAATGGCATTAATTGATATCAGTAATTGTCATTGTGGAAGCAATTATCTCTATACAATAAAATTTTTATGCATAACGTTTTGTTTTGCTTTTGGTCATTTACGAAGTTAGTATTGTTTTCTACATTGGCTGAAAGTTTAAGTCCTAACTCAACCTTCTAAATGTTTTTTTAACTAATGGTTTCTGGACAAAATGAAAACAAAAATTCACCTGTCTTACATGCCAAGTATACCTTAACACTGAAGCCTACGTCTGGTACACTTGATATCGACGAGAGTCAGTTTGTTCAGATTTCAGAATACTGTTTATTATTTCTTCTTCTTAGGCGATTTGAAAATGTTTGCCATCTTCACCCTATCATTTCCATAATTTATTCGATTCTTTTAACAAAATCAAACACTGGAAAATATGGGAGAGATCCTTCTCAAATTATAATATTATCTAGAGGATTCTAGCAACCAGTTCTTTTTTCGACTGTATAAAATCGTTAACCAGTATTCACCAAGGATATGCTCCATGGTCTCCCATAGGCTTCCACTTCTTCAGCACACGATCTCTTCCATGTCACCCTTGGATAAATGCCCAAGTCATTGTTTCTCATTCGGGTCCTCCTCGGGTAATAGCCTTGCACGTGATATCATTCAGCGGTTTCCTCAGCTAGTGCCTAATGCATCGCCATTTCCTTCGGAATACTTGTCAGTCGATAGCTTCATAGTTGGTTCGTTCCCATAGTTTCTTGTTGCTAATTCTTTCTGGTCATTTGAGCTTCAATATGGAATGGAGGTAGCTGTCCTTTTTACAAATTTCACTTTGACTGTTGTAAACTTAGTAAACTCTGATATCTGCTTAGGATTCCGTTGATAAGTTATGTAAGAAGAAGATGTGAGAAATAATTGAACCAATAATTGTGTCTTACAAGGAGAATCGCACTCCGACAAAGATAATTAATGCGTTCACATTACATTTTCAAAAGTGTTAGAAAATAACACCAAGACGGTGTTATTTTGTTGGTATTGACTAGTTATAGAAACTGTGATGAATATTTCGTCCATTCAGGACTCATTAACTGCATCTCCACTGACAGATGACATTCCCACTCAACACCCATTACTTCAAACGTCCAGTAGAAACGTCATGACTAACTGGGAATGTAGGTGAATTTAGCTGAAATGTCCCAAACCGGAGGAAATATATATTCACGCTGAATTCCACTGCTAGGCATTATCAACTAAATAAGCATCAGATGTAATCGAAGCGACTGTACCAGCAGTGAATACAACAATAAAGAGATTAAGTGTTTCATTTCGATAAAAATCATTCACTGGGCAATACAAAGTAACGAACAAATCACAAGAGGACACTTATTCATTGTAGAATATATATACTTTATATTATGTGCCCTTTATTTGTTAACATCCTTTGAGTTAATTTTTTTCCTCATGAACTAACACCAGTTAAAGAACCACTGGAAAACCTAGGATTACTGGACAGCTGTTTCGTCAGCCCAGTCTCGTACTCTTAATCATTACGTACCCACCGGGGTTCGAACATAATACCTTCGGGTTACAAGGCGAGCTCGTTGACTATTCAGCAGCCACCAGAACCTGGTCCAATGACCCATGAAATCTAACTTCGGCCAAATCAGGACAGGGCAATGTCTTCTTCTATGAACTGCTGCCTCATCTTCAACCTGCTGTACCTTACGAGCTCGCCTTGTAACCAGAAGTTCCTGGGTTCGAACCTTGGCGGTGGGTGCGTACTGATGAAGAGTCCCAAACTAGGCTAACGTAACAGCTGTCTAGTACTCCCTGCAGGTTTTCCAGTGGTTCTCTAAGTGATCTCAGCTCATGATAAAGTCCTCCATGCAATCAAACAAAATCCCTACAAAACCAATACTTGAAAATTAATTTTTTTTCCTTTTTTTTTCTTTTAAAGGCGTCATCAATAGATGAAAAAGCCTTGGTAATTGGTGCAGCTAAACTCGGAGTACGATTTATGGGTTCATCAACATGCGAACAAAATTCATCTTCAAGAATTTATCGAGTAGAATATGATCAGTGTATTTGTAATAAGAATAATGGTAATAATGGAAGTAATAATAATAATAGTAATGATAACAGTCAAGATCAATTTGTTTCTATGGAGTATATAATTGACGCTGTCTTGGAATTTGATTCATTTCGAAAACGTATGACTGTCATGGCTAGGCATCCAGATGGCACATGTTATATTCATTGTAAAGGAGCTGAATCAAGTATATTTGAGGTGAGAAAAATGTTTTGTTACGTATATATATGTGAAGAAGATTTGTTGATCAGAGTGAGAATAGAAATTGCTTAGCATTCTTTGAACTTTGATATCGTGTTTCGGGATTTTCACTACCTGTCATGAAAAAAGTGAGACAAAGAAAGTTTTTCTCTTCAATATTGGGTTAAATTAAATATCAGATATAAGGAAAAATAGGCCAGAATTATTCAGGTAACTTGTAAATTTACTGCACTTCATGATTAGCTTTTCGGGAAACGTCTCCATTACCACCGATACCGACTGGTTGTGATCTGAAAGCAGAAAACACAACTTAACGTTATACTGGATAAGTCACAAAACTACCTTGAGACACGCACAGTCACAAAACATACACGAGATAACAAAAAAGACGATTAGTTACGGGATTTCATCATGAGCTGACATCGGTAAGGAATCAGTCAAATCCCTACGAACCAATACTTGAATATCAATGAGATGCTCACTAGCTACTGGCCCTATTCAGGTAGGTAGTTACCTGGGATTCTAGTAAAAAACGTCATGACCAGTAAAGTGCATCAGGTTGGGTGTGAGGACAAATACTCACTGAACACATTGGCTAGCAGTTACGCTATGTCATGAATTGGCAGAATTTGGAATTCATGGACCATTGGATTGGGTCCCAGTAGCTTAATGGTCTACGAGATCACCTTGTAACCAGAAGGTCCTGGGTTCAAACTTCAGTGGCTGCGTAGTGGTGAAGAGTTCAAGACTAGGCCGAAACAGTACCTCCTTGCAGGTTATCCAATGGTTCTCTAACCGATGTCAGCTGATGACAAAACCCTGTAACCAATCAATTAAATCCCCACAAACCAACACTTGAAAAAAGACGATTGTTCGCGGCTGGAATCCACATATGAATCTGTTCAACAATAACAACAGTGAAATACTCAAAAACACTCAAACACAACAGTTAGACAACTATACAGGCTAAATAGTGTTCTAGCGCAAAACAAATACCACAGAACAAAATTAGTCAGTCAGAATTCAACTAAAAGAAGTACTCCATGAACGTGAAGTATGAGCTACCATCACTGGACTCATCTGCCAATCCACCTGCTCCTGTGGAGCTAGGTGTGCCAGTCGTACTCAAAGTTTGCTGTTCAAACGTATCATAGATCACTTACGCTCATGCTTTTATAACGGATGAAAATGATTTCCCCACAGCTATATCCTGGGACACCTGCTTGATTGTGGACGCCAAGCTAAACCACATACCTTCTTCAAAGTCATCTACAGAATACGAAGGAATCCTGCTAAATGATTACGAATTGACACGTTAAAACAATTGCTAGTTCAGTGAGACTATTACCGGAGAAAGACAAGCCATATCGCACAAAGACACAAAAAGATGAAACTTAAATTTCCATAGAAAGCAATCAATATCGTAGACAAAAGTAGAGGAATTTAAACTACGACGTTCCTTATTGAATCGATCAGTTTATTTTGAAATTTCATCTCAAAAAGAAGACTGTAAAACTAAACGGAATGCTTATTCTTAGTCAAAAGAGCTGCTTACCATTAAAAATGACATTTAATGGCGATGAAAATGGCCGTTGTTCAGAATATTCAAAAAAGTTGAATTCTACGCTCATATCGCAATCAGTTAACTAAAGTAGTCAGATTCAAAATCAAAAGATTTTGTCGCCTCTATTAACTCATACCAGATAAAACCTTCTAAATAAAAATAAGTACCCAAAATGGTTCTTTTTAAAAACTGAAATCACAAGGTGTATTAAATAAAAAATAGTAATGGAAAATTATTTTTAACTCTTCTGTACGGAGGCATTTATGTTTACTGACGCAAATGAGTTTTTCATACCCACTTCTGTACGCCTTATAAAAAATATGCTCTCCTCACTGGTGTCTTTTATCTTCTTTTGAACAATACCTTCAATAATATGAATAATTCTCCCTTCCTTTTTGTTTTTTCCGTTTTCTGAATCTGTTGGTGTTTCTGTTATGGCAATATCAATGAATGAATTAGACCTTAACCATTAAAAGATCTTGAATATTAAGGCAAAACGAGCTGTGCTTCATTATTTATTGCATTACAAATACTACAACTTAGACCACCGATGGATATCACTTAAACAATCAGTGAAAACCGGCAGGGAGTACTAGACAATTGTCTCGTCCTAGTTTGGGACTAACCAACAGTACTCACCCACTGCGTACTGAACCCACGACCTTCTGACCACATTGCCAACTTTTTTGAATAGCTATTCCGCCACTCAGACGGAATCCAATGGCTCATGAAGTCTGACTTCTTTCAATTCGTGATTTTTAAAGCCAACGTCAGTGGGATCCCAGATGATTACTGATGAATAACCCCAAACTAGGGCGAAACAGCTGTCCAGTATTCTCTGGTTTTCTGTGGTTATATTGTAACAACAGAAGACAAGGGCCAGGCAACAGATCGTTTATTAAGGAAAATCAACACATATTTATAGATTTCAATATACATTATTGTAGGTTAATGTTAGTAGAAAATACAGTCTTTTGATTGGTTATTTCTCACAGAAAGTTAACCTTGCATCTCTTTCTGGCTGTGTCAGATCATCCATATGCTAACTATATCCGCCTACGCAAAGCTTTTATTCTCATTTTCTCATCACCAATATTGGGGACATAAACATTGACGTCAATTACTGTCTACCAACTTTGGCTAGCAGCCGGCTCTCACCACAATATGACTGATATCAATGTGTGGGCAAACTTGAAACCACTCAAATCTCTACAAGTTAATACTTGAAAATGTAAAAAATTATTTTAAATGTCCAGTCTTCTGTTTATCAGAAAATAAAATAAAATATTGGAGTTAGGTGGCTAAAGGCCATTAGAAGGAAGTCACTAGACCTAGTTTTTTTTGCTTAATAGTACTCTTCAGCAGAGTGTTTTGGTAAACTTGAAGGAATTGATGTCCTTCTAAGGGATTTCAACCCGCGTTACAACATATATCCACTACACTGCTACAGAAGGCAAGTCGTGAACATAAATAGATCAGTGATAGCGTCGCTGACTGTAGCATCTGGTGATAAGAGTCTGAATATCAGAAGGGACATCAGTTTCTCTTCAGTGGTTACAGGGACACTTTGCTGAAGAGCGCCAAACCAGCACGAAACCTTGGTCGATGAATTCTTGTCGATAAGCTGTAACTACCTGACACCAGTCAGAAGTACACGATGGTGATGATACTGGCTAGCTTGGTGACCACATCGCATACTTGACTGATGGAGCTCAATCAGTCGACACAAGGGAACAGAGGTTTGACACCTGTTACTTTCCAATGAATAACCGATGAAAGTTTGGCGGTCCCAATAATTGGGACCAATAATGATTTTGATAAGCACACAATTGAAATCAAACATTCACCCGATTTCACTTGTAAAAGAAAATAATTTTTAATAAATATCCTGAAATTTCTTCAACACAATACTGATTCTAACAAAACCTTCTGTCAAATTCAGCAGTTTTAGATGAAGAACACTTATATATGTCCAAACCAAGTTCACTTTTAACCGTTTGAAAAAAATTTGGGCATTGAGTACATGATATTCATCATAATAAACGTTTTTGTGTTTCACAATGAATGAAAAACAATACGATATTGTTTTTACTGACATTTCGCTATTTAATGCTGCTAATAGCCTTATCAAAGTATTATTAAAACGGAATTTACAAAATCTCAGCATATATATAACAAACAGTTAAGAGGTGAGAAAATAGACTTAGGTCAAGTTAAAGGGACATATTGAAGGTCAAAATAACAATGAATATCACTAAACCGAATTACAAAGGTAATAGTACATCTGCTATGGTATCAATATTGTCAGAATCAATTGTGTGGCCTGAATTTATAACGTGTAGACCTATGGCTGATGATTTTTCAAGCTTTTCCGTTTCAACTGGATTTCTCGGTGGTCGAACAGATGTTCTACGGTGTTCATTTCTTCTGATTTTAAATTCTCGAGATGTTTGTCCGATGTATATCGCATCACATTCCAAGCAAGCATTTTACTTTACAGACACGATTAGATAGAAAGTCTTCAGGGATTTCGTCTTTTATATGGACAAGGTCGTTTCGTAGTGTGTCTGATGTTTTGAAGAAAACTCTAATGTGGAGCTTATCGAGTATTCTTCTGATATCGTCTGATGTCTCTGCTCTATATGAAATGACAACTGTTGAGACCCATGTTTTCGGAATGCGTTTTCGGCCATACTTAATGTCTGTGTTGATTTTGTTGATCAAGTTCCTTTGGTAGTTGCTTTGCTTGAGAGTTTCAGTAATGTTTCATATTTTTTCTTCTTTCTCTTTCTCATCCGTTATCAGAGAGTGTACTCGTCTAAGAAGACTTGAAATAACTGATACCTTTGCACTAATGGGGTGTGATGATCCGAAGTCTAGATATTTATTGGAGTGGGTTTTCTTCCTGAATATAAATATACTAAAATGTCCGTTTTCCCTCCTCTTAACTAGGCAGTCTAGAAATGCTAGTTCACCGACGTCTGATTCTGCTTCCGAAGTAAACTGGATTCTGAGAGATACACAGTTTATTTTCTCCATGAATGAACTGTGTAGATCTCGTTTTAGCACTACGAAAGTATCATCTACATATCTTAACCATATTTTAGGAGTGCGTATGTTTGAAAAGATGTTATCTTCGAACCTATTCATGAAAATGCCAGTGACTATTGGGGAGACTGGTGAACCCATAGCAACACCATTTGTCTGTCTATATAAACTATTACCTTTGTTATTCGGTTTAGTGATCTTCATTGTTATTTTGACTTTTAATATGTCCTTTTAACTTGACCTAAGTCTATTTTCTCACCTCTTAACTGTTTGTTATATATATGCTGAGATTTTGTAAATTCCGTTTTAATAATACTTTGATAAAGCTATTAGCAGTATTAAATAGCGAAATGTCAGTAAAAACAATATCGTTCTGTTTTTCATCCATTGTGAAATACAAAAACCCTTATTATAATAAAAAACACTTATCCTTTCTTTCACTGTGCTTAATTTGAATGGAAAACTATATCATTGCAGTTTGAGCTTGTAAATGCTCAGACATGAAAAGAGGGCTTTATCATTCACTTAGTATATCGGAAGCCAGCGAAACGTTTTATTCATTCCAAACGAATTCTGAATAATTATTTAGTCCAAAGTTGAAGAAAACGGCCTAGTATGAGTAAAATAAGGATGGTTTCATTGTCCATGATTTGGAAATTTATTAAAAAAAAGTAAATGTCCTCTACCTAAGTTTTATTGGTAAACTAGTCTTTCTATAGGAATCACTTAAAGTTGAATACAACACATATAAACAGTCAGCAGAAATCTTAAATGTCAAACTTTCCTTCACTGACATTGTTGAAGAAGGTAAATTACGCTCTCCTCTTTTAGACTCAATCACTATAAAGTGATGAGGTTAAAAATTCCACCAGTACTCTGTAAACGCTAGAAATGACATCTTTTAGGATAAGATTAAGTTACTGAACAGATATTTTATGGGTAACTAGCTACCTTGATAGTAGTAAAAGCATTTCTCAGGAGATGGATAATAGGAGTATCAATGTGTGTTAGATTTAGTCATCAGAATAATAATAATTTTCCCAGGTATGTAATGCCCAGACATCGTCGAAGCATCTGCACAAGAAGCCAACAGACATGTCAACCTGACACTGAACACTTCGGTCCAATCAACCGACGGGAAAATCTAAAATTCAAATAAAGTAATGGGATAGTTGTGTTTGGAAAATCCCTCCTGAACGATTTAATTACAATATATTTATCCTTATCTCGATGTTTTGACCAACTTTGAAATTATTATCCAATTTTCTCCTGGACTGTTCTGACATTCGCATATCACATGTTGATTGGATCCTTATTATTATTATTATTTGTATTTGTCCCTCCCCATTCAATCTTTAATTTTAATACTTCTCTCTGTGATTGGGCTATACATTGATGGAGTGTTGTTCAACGATGTGATTTTGTTTGAGGGAATAGAGATCATATGATCTTTGACTGTCTAAGTGAAGTGTTGGCCTGTGTGTGTGTGTGTGACTCTTATGTTGGATTGAGGTGTTTGATCCCATCTATTTGGTAATATCCCACTTGATTTTTGGGGTACTTTATTTTAGTTGAATTTTGACTGACTAATTTTGATCTGTGGTATTTGTTTTGCAGTAGGTAATTATCTGGTCTGCATAGTTGTCTAACTGTACTGTCTGAGATATTTTGAGTGTTTCGATGTTGTTATTGTTGATTAAAACCATGTGTGGATTCCAACCACAAACAATCGTCTTTTTGAACAAAGCAAGAACTACTGTTTTAGCAGAATAAAGTGGTACCATCATTGGTTATTTCGTTGCCTTCTCGTCAGCTGCTTACAGGCTACAGTCACTATTAAATATATCTACAAAAACAATTTTAACATACACTGATCGACTGACTTTTGTTTAAAATGAACTCTGTGCAAGTATGTTAAAATTGTTTTTGTAGATATATTTATTAATGACTGTGGCCTGTAAGCAACTGAAAAGAAGGCAACGAAATAACCAATGATGGTACCACTTTATTCTGCTAAAACTGTAGTTCTTGCTTTGCTCAAATTTATTAAGGGCAATAAATGTATGAAATCGTCTTTTTTATTGTCTTTAATGTGTTTTGTGACTGTGTGTGTGCCTCAAGGTAGTTTTGTGAGTTATCCACCATGACGTTGAGTTATGTTTTCTGCTTTCAGGTCAAAGTCATTCGGTCCATTATGGATAAGATTTTATTTTGATAAATCACACATTGATGTACAGTAATATTTGCTCATAATCATATCAACTTGATATGATTATGAGCAATAGTTTGTGCTCAAAACGTCATCAGTAAATATTACTGTACATCACTGTGTGATTTATCAAAATAAAATCTTATCCATATGGGAGTTATGCTCTACCACAGTGCCACAGTTTTATACTTATATCAAAGTCATTCGGTTTCGGTCATAACAAGGTGGAAAACAAGAACCAATCACCCAACAAATATGCAGGAGAAAGTGGAGATGGATTGGACACTCGCTGAGGAGGCCGCTGGGTGACATCACGCGTCAGTGAGGCCAGTGCTCGAGTGGAACCCGAAAGGGAAGCGGCGAGTGGGACGTCTAAGTGGGGTGCCATGGAGGAGATCGTGTGAAGAAGAGTTGAAACAGTATGGACTAACATGGATGCAGGTGAAAAGTACAGCAGAAGACAGAAGCAAGTGGAGACGTGTATTTGAAGCCGTATGTTCCACTAGGAACCCAAGGGAATAATAAATAATTATTAAATGAACACTATAAAAGAAATATTGACTATCGCATAAAGATTTTCCATCAGTTGACTTGTATAGATTGTAAAAAATTACAAACTAAATTTGCAGTTTTACTGGTTTCCTTTGGTTTTACATGTTAGGTTCACCTCAAAGTAAATGGTAGTAGATGAAAATACAAAATATTCGTGAGACATATTAACCAGAACTGAATTAAACGAATCACTAGGTTCAAGTCGTCTCAATAATATAAGCCTTCCTGTCCTTACGCTGAATGTTCATACTGTTTTTAATAAATGAAGAGAGTACTGTTATAATTAACATTATTATTAATGTTTATTTCTTGCATACCAAATGCAGCATATGTCTTCAGCAACAGATTCCTCTGTCACCACTTTCAACTAGCTCCATTTCCACTTTCAGATGCCAAACCCGTTGCTGAAACGCTATTTTAAAAAACTTAATTCTGTATATTTTTCAGAAACGGTCATAGAGGATTTTATCTTGGTGTGGAATAACTACTGAATATAATTAACTCCTTCACTCCGGACTAGTCTATTGTAGAAATCTTGGCATTTTTTTTATTATCTTCAATCAACGTGTAGGTTCTTGACTGCCTTGTATTAGTCCGTGTTATTCACATGCCTTCGCTACATTCACCGTTAATAGTCCCATTCATTTTAAATTAAATTAGACATCGAAATAATAATTGGTGAAATCTAATCTAACCAAATCCATACGGAATAGATGGAAGTAATCTTCCTCCCTTCCAACAGCCACCTTACGTATCACTTTCTCCAGAAGACAGTTAATCCAGTCTAATGTTAAGGATAAGCTACCGTTTTTGGCCACTTCATTGTGTATTTACCAATTAACTTGCTCGTGTGGAGCAAAGTATATCGGCCATATGCAACGTCGAGTCCACAAACGTATTCTGGAACACTGGCCAGAGGAGAAAAGAGGAATATCAATAGCTCTATCCTCGAACACTTTGTCCTCTCTGGACATCGAGCACCCCCTCACGAATGCTTCACAGTGCTACACACAGTCCCTCAATATCGTACAAAGGGACTTTGTATACTCCATCTGTACATAGCTGAAGCATTAGCTATGGAACCAGACATCTGCATTCAAAAGCGATATATACATTCACTCGCCCTACCGTAGCCAGAGTAAAGTTCTTACAATAATTTTGCTTCTTTTCATTATGTAAGTTTACTATTATTATTGTTGTTATTACTACTATTATTTCCTTACCATTATTCCCATCATCCATATTTTATTACCACTATACAGATTTTACATAAAAACACTTTATCGCCTTTCCACTAGTTGCCGTCTATTCTACACGAGCTTATTGACTAGTCACTGTCTCACACTTATAACATCATGCCAACTTCTGCCTCTCTCCTAACTTACAATTAGTCATACCTTCTTACACCTTACATTATGTAATGTATTTTTCGGGGACAAATTTCACCTCTATCTGACTGGTCTAAAGATTTCTTTGTTAAATATATTTACGATTATACAGCTCATGAAAATGAATCGTTGATAAGAAAATTTTCTTCGGTGTTTACGCCTTTTTTCTTATGAACGATAATTGTTTTCATTATTTCTTTACTATATTCCTTTATGTCCCTAGTGGAACATAAGGCTTCAGGCTAGAGCTTTGAAAATGCGGTAGCACTGGGTACTTTTTAATTTTTACAAGGTAGGTGTGCCATCCTCAACAGCTGTCTTCGCTCTATACTCAAGATCAGATGGCCGGAAAGAATCACTAACAAGAAACCATGGGAATAAACAAAGCAAGAATCAGTCGCCCAACAAATATGCAGGAGAAAGTGGAGATGGATTGGACACTCGCTGAGGAGGCCACAGGGTGACATCGGACGTCAGGCCAGTGCTCGAGTGGAACCCGAAAGGGAAACAGCGAGTGGGACGTCGAAGGGTGACATGGAGGAGATCGTGTGAAGAAGAGTTGAAACAGTATGGACTAACATGGATGCAGGTGAAAAGTACGGCAGAAGACAGAAGCAAATGGAGACGTGCAGTTGAAGCCCTATGTTCCACTAGGAACCCAAGGGAACAATAATAATAATAGGTGTGCTAGCCTCACACTCAACCTTCCTTCTTTACAGGCCTTACTATTATCTTAAAAAGGTCTAGGAGTGTGTCAGTTCGGAGTCGGACCCCAGACCGCGTGGCGGATTGGCAAGCGGTTAAAAATCGACGCTTGAATAATATTAATAATACTATAAAATATATAGAAATCAGCTTAACTTCTAAATGCTTCCCATATCAACACACTCAATTTTTTGCAAAATAAATGAAATTATCACAGCATTCATAATCGTATAAAGGTTATTTCAATACCGAAAAATAAATTCAACAGAGAATGAACTTAATGAAGCGTTTAGAAACACTATTTGAGTGTAAGTTTGAGTCAATTCACCATTTAACAATAATCGCACAGTATTTGCTTTTTTATCCCGTCTATTTCTTTTTCTTTTCAGATAAGTAACTTGTCTCCGACTCATGCACACAAATTAGCCAATAAACATGTAACACAATTTGCAATGGATGGTTTACGTACATTGGTTTATGCAAGTCGTCAAGTGAATTCCAGTGAATATCATGAATTACTTGCAGAACTTCAACATGCTAATACTTTATTTGGTCCTGAACGTGTAAATGCATTGAAAGTGATCTATTCTAAAATTGAGTCAAATTTAACATTAGTCAGTGTAACTGGAGTTGAAGATAAACTACAACCTGATGTTGAACAGACTTTGAAAAGTCTACGTGAAGCAGGAATTCAAGTAAGCTGAATAACAAGATTATTTTATTAGATTCTGACACAGTTATTGTCATGTGTTTCAATGATATATCATCCTGTCGAACACAATGGATCATTAATATATATATATGAGTCGGTGCCATAGCGGTAGAGTGCTCACCGAGGTTCGATCACCGGCCGACGCATTCCTTTACCTTGCTAAGCCAATATTGCGACTGGTAAAGAGGGAAGGTTGGGCATGAAGCTATAGCAAGCCTCTAGCTTGAAGCCCTATGTTCCACTGGGAACGTAGAGTAATAAAATATATATATATTCCAAACCCTAATCTTGGATTTAAGCTTTGAAGCCTCACTGGCAGAGATATTGATATTATGGAGTGGGATAGTTGGTGTAACTCTCAAGTTCCCCTCTCTTTCGGACTTGTCACCCACTAAGTGGAGTTGAAGATTCCATTGGCCAGGAATCAAACCCTCACCGCTAGTTTGGCTGGAGAATGTTCTACAACTAAATCACCGACAGACATTTTCCAACAACAGGTAAATGCTAAATTATTAGCATTAAACACGCCCACTCTGAACTGTGTATAATATACTTAGGTTAGAAATTAGAAATATTCAGAGGAAAGTATCCTCTGTAGTTGATCAGAAAAAAGTATTATACTATTTAGCACACGCTGTCACCATCATAAACAGTTCAACATACACCACATGAGTGAAGATCTATCCTATGGCAAATCAAACTTGTTACGCTTTCATTTCAGTACACTTGTATAGGTAGAATAGAGGCGATCAGTTACGGTTTGAACTTCCTTGAGTCTAAAGGAATCCTGTGATTATGTCAGATGTTATGTTTGACTGTTTCAAAGATGTTTTATCAACTTTTTTATGCAGCTAGAATATATCTTTTGTGACGTTTGTCATACTATACAAAAGAACACCTTACGAAAGCCTTTATCCTCATTTATATCAAATTCCAAAAATATTTTCAACTTATAAGAAACGTTTACCTGTTCGCAGACGAATTTAAACCTTGAAAAACAAAATTCTCTTCTCTTAACAAACTATCATATTTTATTCAAAGGTGAAACTTTTAACGACTTGATTATCTGATATAGTGTCCTCAGGTCCCTTTTGCCTGCTGCCTTCTCAGCTTCAGTGGCCAGGTTGTCGTAGAATTGTCTTTTGTCCTTCCTGGCACTCTTCTTCACTTCTTTGTCCAGTGCTGTGTAAGTCGAGCTCAGCGTCTCCTTCTCTTGTCCATCTTTGCATTGAATCATTTACTCTTTCACCATTCTTCTCTCCTCTGTTAGCTTCCAAGCGTCTGTTGAGAGCCATTCCTTGTCTTGTCTCTTCTATCTCCCTTAAACTGTTGAACACGTTTCGATGTAAATCACCTTCAGAGAGTTCCTATGGTCTTCCACGCATGATTCCTCAGTGATGCCTTGTAGCGTTTCCTGCTTTGCTCTGACAGTTGCAGTGAAAGTGTCCTGTGTGATTGTGTCCTTCAGTTTTCGAGTGTTGAACTTGCACTGTGGCCTTTCTCCAGGTATCCTCGAGGCTTTTAGCTTCACCTTGAAAGTCCCTTGTACTAGATAGTGGTCTGAACCCACATCTGCTCGTCTCCTCGACCTTGTGTCCAGTAGGCTCCGTCTCCACTTCCTTGAGATTGAAATGAAGTCTATCTGGTTTTTGGTGTGTCCATCTGGTGAAATCCATGTTGCCTTGTGTATATCCCTGTGTTTGAAAACACTGCCACCAATCACCAAATCATTGAAGGTGCAGAAGTCTGAGAAGAGTTCACCATTGTTGTTCATTTCACCGAGGGCCTCACGACAATCAAATGAATTTATAAGTCAAGGCGGGTATCTGATTTTATATGAATGACAAATCTAGTGAAGCTTGACTGTTCACAAGGTTTATACATATGTGGCCTACTTTACGGATGATTTTAGAATTAAGCGCTATTCAGAATCGTTTTGTCAGAAATTAGTCTGTCGAACAGAAAAAAGACACTCGTTTGAATAACTTTTACATTTATGCATTTTACTGTAGAACAAGAGTTAGGGAGAACTATCGGAAAACTAGGGAGTACTTGGCACGCGTTTTGGCCTAGTTTATAGCTCTCCAGCAATGCGTATCCATGATCCGACTGGGGGTCGAACCCGATAACTTTCGGTTATGAGGTCAGTCACTGGAATGAAATTCACTCACCTATGAATTCTAGAGGAACGTTGAATAAAATCTATAAGGAGGAGGGTTCATCTAATATGATTCGTAGAATTCACACAATAGACAAAACGAAACCTTTCAAGGTTATTCATAGCATTCCACTCAACACAAACAATGGGTTTTATACTCATCTTCAACACTATGAAATTGCTAAAAATAATCCCAGCGTTTTTAGAAAATCAAAATAAGATTTCCTCTGAAACTTTCATTGTGTAAGCAACAGCTTCTTTAGCAGAATTACCCAGATTTCATTAAACATAAACAACTACATCGTGAAAAAAACGCCTTTCAAAACCTGAATTTCAATATTTTGTTCATTAATGATTGCAAGATGGATGCCGTAAATTTCAAATGAGAATTGATAGCCGGTGGAATCCTTTATTTCCGTTATAAAGTAGACCCTCTTAAATGGCATCGGTTGGTGCTTTTGCCATGTTCTTAAATGATGTGAGGTTAAAGCCAAAAGACCATTAGATTCCAGTTGAGCAGATGGCCTGTCCAGTAACAAAGAGGTCCTGTGTTAGATCGTCAGTGGCCACTTCTGAAAAGTATCAAACTAGGGTGAAACAGCTGTCAAGTGCTCCTTGGTTTTCCACAATTGTCTAAGTGATTTCAATTTGTGATGAAGTTCACACTGAAACCGTGTAATCCACATCACTGAATTGCCGTCGACCTACAAATCACTAATACTGGTTAAAAATTTAGGTACATTTACCACATTAGTTTGTTTATTAGATATATCACACAGTGAAGCAGTTTTATTATTATTTATTGGATGACACAGTTACAAAACACAATTTATTGTTCATAATCATATCAATTATAATCACACGACTTCGAAACTTGAGTTTCACAGTCCTCTTTCATCTCTCCTATTTGTTGCAGGGGGGGTAGTAGGATTTTCCAGATGTCTTGGTGTACAGGTGTTGAATCATTCCTATTACACGTGTTCACAGTTTATTCGGCAAGAAAAGCTTCCGTCATCGATCCCTCGCCCATCGTGTTAATATTAGATTTTGCAACTGTCATCTTATCCCATGCTATCATATGGTGTGGTTGTGTGTAACTGTGTGTGGTGTATTGCTTTAGCTGAACTATTCTCTAGATTTCTTATCTTATCGTGGTCAACTAATCTAGATTCCGTAGGTTTTTATGCTCCGCTAGTCTGACTCCTGCTGTTCCACTACTATGACCCACGTATTTGAGCTGACGATCATTCCAGCAGGGTAATGGATAAGCTTAATTGTTTTGTTTAATAGGCTGTTCCACAGGATGCTACGAATGACAAAGCATGTTTCTAATTGAGTTTGTGGATTTTAATGCCACTTATATATATATATTTCTTGACGTTCCCAGTGGAACATAGGACTTCAAGCTACAGGCTTGAAATTTCTATAGCAATGGTGTTTATTTTTACGGGATGGGGTTGCTAGCCTCATTTCTAGCCTTCTCTCTTTACAAGTAGTACTTTTGGATTAGCGAGGTAAAGGAGTGAATCGGCCGGTGATAGAACCCAGGACCAAATGCGTGGTCGGCGAACATTCTAGCGCTATGCCATCGATGCACTATACATGTATATATATATATATATATATATATGGTGCCGTAAAAATTTCTATTCTGTTTCGTTAAACCTCATTTACGGTGTAAACCTTGGGTTATGACTTCCATAACAAAATCTGAGCGACTTTTCATGTGATTTGATAAATTCAATGGCTGAAATTTTTCAGAATTCATCAATTTGTTGTGGATATTAATTTCAAACCAATCTACTAAATTATAACATAAGGAATTGGCGGATAGTTGTAGTAATTCTTTTTTATCTGCTTCCACTCATTACTCAAGTGTGGTAAGAAGCGGGACACAAACAGCTGTCTAAGCAAGCAGTTTTATAACATTGAATGAATACATGCATTTCACTTACGGGTTCACATGAAAACGGAATCATTAAAAACCGCTGACCACTGAATTTAAATAAAGTCCTGGTTGGAATTTGAGCTTGTAGTTAAATCAGTAAACCATCAATGTAGAAATTTAGAGGTGGCTTGAAGAAGTCCTTACGCTGCTTGTCTTCAAATCACAGAATATACTCTTTAGATTGCAGTAAAAGCTAAAAAGATGGTTACAGGGAGGAAAATTTTCTTTTTGATGAAGTCACCAAATAGGCTATACATCCGTGTATTTATAGTAAATGGATGGAAAAGTTCCAGAATTATTTCCGGTCAAGGGTCAGATTAATAAACTTGAAAATAGGGGGTTGCACACGAAAGTCTGAAAAAAAACATAGTAGGGTCAAATTCAATGAGAAAATTGATTTTATGTGCAATTAGGGATTAAAAACTTACTAAGAATGACAAAATAGACAGGAAGTTCAGATAAGAAACATAGTTGTACAAATGGGGATTTAAAAAAACGTAAAGTAAACAGGAAGTCTGAATTGGATAACCACTACTGAGAGAACTGACTGTTTATGATGGCCATAGTAAAGACAAAAGTTGGATGTATTTCTTCTGGATACATAGCTTGGGCTTGAATTTTCGGATAGCTAATGCCTCAGCTATGCCCAGATGCCTTGATCTCACCCCGCTGTGAGATGTTCGATCGAAACATGTATGTGACTTTGAAGGACTTTTCAAGTGGATCTGAATGCCCTGATTGAGTCCACCAGATGTTCTGTTACCCAGCTGTATATACACCTGCGTCCTCGTTTGTCTACCCAGGTTGGAAAGGGTTCTCGAGTGTGTTTTATAAGTGGCCGCATGGTATGGCTAATGTACTCAGCTCCATACGCGCTAGTGAACTGGTATGTGCATGCTGAAGTAGCCCAGTGTGACAGCATTTCAAACAGGGGCTGGCTGAATAGTTTCTTGCAGGAAAATGCCACTCTTTGGCTGGTGGTGAAGTATGTTTTACTGAGACATTTCAAAAACTGGTTTCGGAGAATTCCTGACTCGGCGTCACCTTAAAATTCAAGAATAAGCAGCAGCATCTTTTTAAAGGCTATCTGAACCTGTTCAGAAGATTTCTTTAGTTTTCGCCTTTTATCTATGAATATGGATGGGAAAGCATGCTCCATCAGGATTCCTCGAGGATTTATTAATTCTTCGTCTATGGATTCGTTGATATATATTTTACTGATTCTTAGAAAAAACGAATATGTGAGATTTTTCTTTCTGCTTAAAGGGATACAAATTTTCAAATTGATAAACTGTCCGTTCTATGTGGGCTTTTTTATATGGATCTTCTCACCAAATTATCAGCATTTCTTCTCAGTTGAACATTGAGGAGGCGGGACATTGAATCAGATTAAACTTCTAGAATGAAGTTGATGCTTGGGTGGGCACTACTGAAAGTTTTGGAGTAGGTTTCCGAGATCCACATTCTCATCACAAATAATGAAAGTATCATTAATTTATCTCTTGTAGAGATGAAGCTTATTGATAGTTAATAATAAGAAATTGTTATCTGGGCTAACCACAAATCAGTTAAACAAAATGGGTCCTAGAGAATAACCGATTTCTGCACCATCTGTTTACCTGTGGATTTTGGTTACTGAATCTAAAGTAAACGCTGAAAGTGCATCGGAGTAACAGTTTCTTTAGACAATGAATTGGATTGAATGAAATGACAAAAAATACACATCTAGTTTCTGTCAGTAGAACATTGACAAAGTGCGACACAACACCTAAGGAGACAATTTTTCTTGTTAGACTGACATTCCTAATAGAGGAGTAAACTTTTCATCAGAATTTTAGTGATTACGTTCGACTTAAAGTTCATGGTCGCAGATAACTGAATATGAAAATATTTTTCTATATAAGGTACACAATGGTGTGTGTGTGTGTGAATGTGTGTATGGGTTAACAGTTGTAGAACATTTGTTAGCCTCTCCATATTGAAGATTTAGACAATCAGAAATTTTGAACAAGTAGGATTAATTAGTAATAAATATCCAACTTTTATTTATTAATCAGGATTTGTTATACATCAGCTAACACCACACCTTCACGTCTTTTCAAACTTTAGCATCTAAAAATTTTATGATTAGACAAACTTTCAAAATTATGGTGTTTAGGATTAGAGTTTACTTTAAGATTACCCTGTCGAAAATATTGATTTGTCTTCTCTTCGAAGATTGAGGTGCTTTAATCAACCTACTGGAGTTGTCAAATGATTTGACAGCTACGGATTTAGGATATACATTCTGTTGCAGACTACGGAGATTGAAAACACGATAATTTTACCAATTACATAGTTTCTTTGTCAATTTCATTCGATTCCAAAATAACATTTATGTGAACTGTCGTCAATATTTGACAGAATAGTTCTAAAATATTTGGGCGCCGAGTTAGAGGTAAACATTTGTGAAAAATTCCAACGTTTCGTTCGGCAAACTGGTTCGAACGTCTTCAGGGAAATTAATCAAAATTAACGTAACATAGGTTTATACATTACAAATATATATAAATTACGCATTTCGACTTCGCTGAGACTTTATTATTATATTATTATTCTTTCATTTAATTCCTAGAGGAATATAGGGCTTCAGCCGTGCGTCTCCATTGCGTTCTGTTCTCTGCCAGAGTCTTCACCTGGCTCCAAGTCTGCCCACACGTTTTCATCTCCTCTTCACATGACCTCCTCCAACTCACCCTCACCCTTGCACTGACGACCAACTCGCCGCTTCCCTTTCGGATTCCACTCGAGCAATGGCTTGTCTAGTGATGTCACTTGATGATTTGTTTCCTCAGAGTATGGCCAATCCATCTCGATTTCTTCCTGCCTATTTGTTTCACAATCGGTTCCTGGTGGGTTCGCTCCCAGAGATCCCTTTTGCTGATCTGTTCTGGCCATCTGATCTTGAGTATTGAGCGAAGACAGCTGTTGATGAAGGTCTGTAGTTTGCTTGAGATGCTCTTTATGACGCGCAGTGCAAGTCTCTGATCAGTATAGTGAGTAGCACTGACTTCACATTGGAGTTGAAAATCCGGATCTTATTTTTGATGGTGAGTGCTATTGACCTCCACACGAACTTAAGAGTAGTGAAAGCTTGTCTTGCTTTTCCGATTCTTGCTTTGATATCCTCGTCAGTTCCGTCTGCCTGTGGTTGAAACGATGCTTCCTAGGTAGGTAGGTAAAAGAGGTTGTTTCTTTCAGGTTCCTCCCATTTTTTTGGCTGATTGTTGTCTGTTGTTGTTGCTGTAGCTGTTGCTGTTAGCCAGGAATCTTCATCACCTCTGTTTTTTCTATGTTCATCTGAAGTCCTATCTTTGATGCTTCTTCTGCCAACTTGTTGCTTTTCGCTTGCATATTATCCAGTTTGTGGGAAATCAGACCTATATCAGTCATCGGCGAAGTCCAGATCCTCCAAGTTTTTTGTGAGTCCATTTTATGCCTGTTTCCTCATTGCCTACTGTTTGTCGCATTTTCCATTCGCTGACATTTTACAAATGTCTAACCATGCATTGTTATTATTATTATTACTATTACGGATTGTTATATGTTGTAAAATCTCTGTTCACTGGTATAATTTATTCCGAATTTCCATTTTCTTTTATACTTCATTCTATAGGTTTGGGTATTAACTGGAGATAAAGAGGAGACAGCAATTACAGTCAGTCGATCAGCTGGACACTTTGCACCAAATATGAACTTAGTTCGTTTAACAAATTGTGAAGATTTTCTTAGTTTAGCCAGCAAGTTATTTAGTCACTTAGATGATTTAAAAGTTCGTCGAAGAGGAAGAAGTACAAAACAACGAATTAAAAATTGTGTGAAAAAATCATTCGATCTGATGAAAGATAAAACTGATAAAAATTTATACGATAAAAGTGAAATAACTGAAAATTTTGATAATCAGAGAGTATCATCAATTGCCGGTTTAAAAAAGCTATTCACTAATAAAATTCAAGTTGAATTAAATCAACCTCGGCATAGACATTCACAACGACCTGGTTCTGCATGTGAGCCTATTGGACTGGTTATCGATGGAAAAAGTTTACGATATGCATTACATGTGAGTTTAATACATAGATGTTTTTTAATTACTATTACTGAAGCATGTCATCTTTACTTTGAAAGTGGTTGACCACTGGAATAATCATTTTCTGAAATGTTTATATGTAGGCGACTCCAATCGATTGTGTGTACAATCTTAAGTCTACTTTTGCCGGTGGCAGTCTTGTCTAGTTTGCAGAAGAAATTATAAGACATAAAGATAAGTAATAGATGCAATCTGAAAACTAAGGTACTAGCTATGTTGTAGTTAACTTTACCAAGTATAAATGATCAAGTTTTTACGGCTTTGATCACAAACTGATATCAGTTAGAGGACCATTTGAAAAGCAGTTGTTTCATCCTGCTTTAGTACTCTTCGTCAGAAACCAACCCACGACCCACAAGGGATAGGACCTAGGACTTTCAGTTTACAAGTCAGCCAATGAAATCCGACCCAACGGGCCATGAATCCCAACTTCTGCCAATACGCGATAAATTTGGCGCGACCACTGTGGCATATATCATAGGTGAGTTACTGTTCTCTTACCTGACTTGGAAGACCCTTCCCGTCACGATTTCTCACTAGAACTACAGGTAATTTCCTGCATACAGTCAGTCGCTATTGAGCATCAGATTAGTTATCGTATTAGTTTGCAGGGATTTGATTGGTTACAGGTTGGATTGCGAACCGACAGAAGTTAGAATCCATAGACCATTAGGCAGGGTCCCAGTAGATAAAGGAAGGCCCTGGACCCGAACCCTAGTGGGTGGGTGCTGATGAAGAATCCCAAACTAGGACGAAACATTTATCCAGTATTTCCTGGTTACCAGTGATTCTCATACCGCCATGTCAGCTAATGCTGAAATCTTGTAACCAATCAAATTCCAGCAAACCAACACCTCAATTTAGTTATGTTTTAAGAATGATCATTTGAAATCTTTTCAAGCAACTAAACATGCTGAAAGCATGGTTGAGACAAACAAATGCCTGAATACAATTTAGAGAGATTCAGAGCTGTGTTGTAGGAAGAAACTTCACAGAAGCGAGTTTTACATTTGTACTACTTAAGTGGTAATACTTTTTGCATTCAACTTATGGTACATGTATACTACTGCATAATTGGCATGATTAGTTGTACAACACTCACATCAATCATCAGTGCTTGTCAGTCGCATCATCGAAGTGATTCAACCACCGGACGACCGTTTCGCTCATTTAACACTGACCCCACACGTGGTGTAACCAGTTTGACTAAGTTCACCGAGTCAGACGAGTTCAAATCACTCGGTTTCCATAAACCTGACTGGCATTTCGCAAATTTATTCGCAATCTGCTGTTTACACAGTTTGAATCGATTATTTCACTACAGTTCCCTTTGGAAACCGAAATTACTCAAATCAAAATATGTGACGTGAGTGGTAATAAACTACTCATCCCAGTCATTCAGTAGTATATAGTTTTATACATTTATGCTTGCTTTCTTGTGGTGTCTTGTTGTACTTCATGGAGTCTGTTAGCCCTGTCGAGACTTTCCAGTACCTTTGATACCACTGATGGTAGCGCTACTGGTGTATAGTCGGTGCCATTTTGCCTGTCCCCACTCTTGAAAATTGGAGAAAGAATGCCTCCTTTCTACTCCCTTGGCAGTTCCCCTGAATCCATCCAGTGTTGGAACAGGTCGAATGAGAGCATACTGAGAGCTTCAGCGCACTGTTTCAGAACAGATGGCCTGATGTCACCACAACCTGGGGAATTTCCAGATGTGAGTCTCTGTGACTTCCCTAGTGCCGTTGCCGATTATATCTGGAGAGTAGCCTCTAGGTTTTCCTTCGGTGAAATAGCAGTGTCACCATTTTGGCTCATACCAGTAATGCTCACAGTGCTGTTTAACTGTTGAGCAAGGGCCAAACTGAATGTTTCAGTCATTTCCAGACAGATCACATATTGTAATCAAAATAACTTCCGTTTCTAAGGGAAACCCCTGGTGAAATTTCAACTCCTCGAAAAAAATGAGACATTTTATAAATGACAGGTACCTTAATTATAAACTCAATATTTCTGCGAGTATGATTCTGAATGTAATAACTGAGAATATACAATATATATTATATATATATGCCATCTTTTGTATGATTCATAGTTAACCTATATGGGGAGAGAATGAGGGCGTTTTTATCATGCAGCATTTATGATAACAATACGAACTCAAAAGTTGTCAAAGGCCTATACACCTAAAATACTTGATGTACATATGACTTACTAATGAGTTTAACAATTTGCCTATAGCAATATTCCTTTTTAAACACAATCAATACAACTGTAAAGTTTGAAAAAAAAATAAATAATTTGTGCACACCTAAAATCCCCAATAAGATATTAGTTAATTTATTGTTAATTATCATACCATATAAATGGCATGCCTTCAAAAACAAATGAGATGAGACAATTTTACACTACTATTAATAGTTGAATGCTTTTATTTCAATTTGATAATTACCATCTATCCGCCTAAATTCCAGTTTAAAGGTCGACTGAACAGAATTTTTGTAGCGTAAATAATTAGCCTTATACTTCATGCAAACAAAGCTTGAACAACCTTCATTCTCCAATTAAAATGTTGTTATTCACTTAGGAATTCCTTTCTTTTCTTGTTTCTCTTTTTATTTTTTAAAAACAAAAGTGTACTCATATTATCTATAAGCTATATTAGTCATTGTTACTGAGAAAAGTTCCTCTGATATTATAACAGAAGTCATCGCCATTGTTTCTGTTTTCTTTTACGAGGATAAATGAAGCATAAAAGTTACCTGAAGACTGTTTTAATGTGTATTCATTTTGTAAATAATGACCTACAGCTTCAAAGTTGGCTAAAAACTAACTTATGTGGCTTGTTTTCCTATCGATTTGACTGACTGATGACTGATTTAGTAATCATTCTGAGCCTCAATATCTTTGATACTACTTAGTTTAACCGTAGGGTAGTGTAATTAGATAAGTTGATTCCCTACTAATTTACTTGATGGTATCATACAGTAGGATCATAAATGAGTGATCTCCCCAGTTGAATAGTCTTCGACCAAAAGTAGCTACAGTATTCTATGATGGCGTTCTCACTGAAAATTTGATCCACCAGAATATCAATAAGTATTTAGCAAATATGCACTGGTGGTTCAACGATAGAATTTATAGCCAATCGAGCAGAAGGTTCGAGTCCTACTCGCAGTTGATGTACTCCTAAATCTTGTCTAGCCTACTAGGCGATAATCATCCTGAAAAAGAGGCAAAGTTGGGCATAAACTAGTAATCTCACCTCATTAGAACAGGACAATGCCACGTCTACAGAATGCAAGGAATCGAAAGAAGAAGAAAAGAATTTAGCAAATACCTAAATTATATTATTTTAATGTATGAAAATTAGATACTGCACATTGCAGAATAGAGATGGACTGGACATAGACTAAGAAGACCTTTAAGTGAAAGCACGCACCTTGTTGTCGAGTGGAAGCCAAAGGTGACGTAGAGGTGATCCTATGAGACTGAATGAAATAAAGCTGCACTACTGTAGTCCCAGCTTCCAATCGGAACACATGAGAGTAATAGTAATCATAATAATAATAATACTGAAGAATGGGAAGATACACGTTTTCATTAATACACAAGTAGAACATTACATTTAACCAACCTCACGAATAAATCAATAACAATTAAGCTACTAATTCGACTAAGCTGTTTTTCAAAATCAATACCAATACCATAGATATTTAATAAGTCTTCCAATGTATTTTTTTAAATTTTTATTATAGCTTGACTCCACACAGTATTTTGGTAAAAGTATGAAATTTTCAGCATGTGATATTGGTAGCCCAAATTTAGCAGGCCGACCATAGATATCAGGTGTGCGTCGGCGAGGGATCGAGCCTCGGACCATGTGCTTGATCGGCGGGAGTCTTAACCGCTGTGCCGCCGACGCACAAAAGCACGGACCCAGCCGGGATTCGAACCCGAGACCAATCGCACCCAAAGCGAGTATCATACCCCTAGGTAGTTGACATTATCTGTTTACTTATTTTCTTAAAACAGAACACACACGCTATGGCGCTCTTAATTTAACAGAAAGAAAATCCTACATTTCAAACTTCTAACAATTTAGTTGCAATCTCTGGACTCTGTAAATCACTGAGTCCTGCTAAATGATGATATAACAAACCTGTATACTATTTCTTAATACAAGAATATCACCCCAAAGTCTATCATACCTAAACTTGTTATGCTGAGTTAGAATCAAGCAAAGAAACTATGTATTTACTCTTAATATTACCTGTTACTGTAGTCCTGTGATTTCACGTTTTTCCGTGAGTCAGTAGTACTATAAAAGTACCCACAGTCTGATCCTTGAGAAACACTAAGTTTAATGTGAATAATTCACAATTTATTCCCCAAGAGAGTTTCATTTACACTAGTTCAAAATTAAGGTGAGTTTGAAAAATGGAGTTGGAATTGGCTAAAATGGATGTGTTCTACAAGCGTATTTGGTAGGGGAATTGTGTATTGGCAAGCTGATGTACAGAGATATGAGCAAAATACGTCTAACCCTCGTTTGCACATATCTTCAGTATTGTGCTTCTTTACCTTCTTTTCGTGTTTTCCATGTTGCTTCATAAGCATCATTTCATTTCCCTTCCCTTCGCAATCGAATCCACTTCTCTGCTATTAAATATTTTTGCAAATGATACACCTATTTATATCCGTATCTATATACTACTTATACATTTTGTCAGTAACACACGCTACACTTGTACTACAATTATAGAAAACAATACAAGTGTGTTTATTTCAAATAGAAAGCAGTTTGGAAATCTTCTACACCCAGCACAAGGAACAAGATTTGCGTTTTCATTACCAGTGTCAAGTCGGTCCTCTTATGCAGGTCAGAAACTTGACCAGCGTTTCACGAAAAGGATTTCCAACAGGCAACTGCAAACTTTAATCAACAGCTGCCACCTTCTCTGACTCCATACTTAAGATCAAATGATCAGCCGGTCAGGAACAATTAGTAATAAGATACTCTGGCTGGGAACAAAACAACCAAGAGCCGATAGATCAATAAATATGTAGGAGAAAGTGGATATGAATCGGGCAAATGTTGAGTAGGCCGTCGAATGACATCTCGCACCAGATCATCGCTCGAGTGGAATCGAAATGGAAAGTGACGAGTGGGTCGCCCTAGAGTGACATAGAGGAGGTCATGTGAGTTGTAGGAGGAGATGAGAGATTATGGGCGATCGTGGACCCAGAACAAGAGGATGGCAGAAAATAGGAGAAAGTAGAGATGTGTTGTCGAAGCCCTGTGTTCCACTACGAACCCAAGGGAATAATTGATAAATAAATAAGTAATATGGCAAAAACTACTATTGGGACATTAAAAAAGATTGAGGAAAGACTATTCTTGTCTATAACTTCCATTATCTAGCTCTACAGTTGTATGTATACACACAGAATATTTGAAGAACACTTGTTGTTATATCTTAAGTAATATCGAGTTGTTGAAGCCAAAAGAATCACAGTTCAAAAGAAAGCCTAAGTATGATAATTAGCATTTAAGTACAATACCAAATGGAATATCTGATGAAATTAAGAAAAAACCTTTAAGCAACGCAATTAAAGATCCTGAGTCGCATCATCCTGGAGAGAATAAAGGAGGCATTGGATGCAGAATTCCGATCAAAACAAGCTGGATTCAGGAAAGGCAAATCATGTTCTGACCAAATTGCAACTCTACGCATTATTATCGAACAAAGCATGGAACGGATATCAAATCTCTACCTCAACTTTATAGACTTTGAGAAGGCCTTCGACAGCGTTAACCGCGAAGTAATTTGGAAACTACTCGAGTACTACGGCGTACCGCAAATATTCATCAACCTTATTCAACAACTGTACGACAACGGCACATGTCCAGTGATCCACAACGGAAAACTCAGCGAAGCGTTTGGAGTAAACACAGGAGTCAGACAAGGGTGCTTATTATCACCAATGATATTCCTAATTGTGGTGGAGTGGATTATGCATCAGACAGTGGGAAACGAGAAGACAGGGATGTCCGGGACCGACGTGAAGAATCTTTTTTTTATCGTTCACGTTCCCCAGTGGAAAATAGGGCTTCAAGCTTGTGGCTTGAAGTTTCTGTAGCAGTGTTTATTTTACAGGATGGGGTTGCTAGCCTCATGCCCAACCTTTCCTCTTCACCAGCATTATTTCTGGCTTAACGAGGTAAAGGAGTGCGTCGGCCGGGGATCGAACCCCGGACCATGTGCATGGTCGGTGAGCGTCCTAACCGCTATGCCACCGACGCACGTGAAGAATCTAGAAGACCTGGATTTCGCGCGTGGATGACTTATGTTTGATGTCACACAAAATCGAAAACTTACAAGCGAAAACCAACAAACTGGTCGAAGAAGCAGCGAAGACAGGACTCCAGGTGAACATAGACAAGAAGGAGGTCATGAAAATAACCAACCAACAACAAGAAAAGAAGCAGCAACACCCACCGCCAATCACCATCAACGGGAGGGATTTGAAAGAGGTTACTTCATTCACTTATCTAGGGAGCATTGTCTCAACTACAGGCAGGTGGAACGGACGAGGATGTCAAATCGAGCGAGAATTGGGAAGGCGAGAAACACATTCATCAACCTGAAACCAATCTGGAAATCCTCGTCACTCACTCAGCATCAACAACAAAATTCGGATTTTCAATACAAACGTCAAGTCAGTCAGTTCTTCTATACGGATGGATCAGAAACTTGACGGCGGGTCACAAAGAATATTTCCAACAGCCTGTTACAGACCTTTATCAACAACTAACTGTCTTCGTTCTATACTGATTATCAGATGGTCGGAGTGAATCACCAACAAGAGACTATGGGAACAAACAAAACAAGAAGCAATCGCTCAACAAATATGCAGGAGAAAGTGGAGATGGATTGGACACTCGCTGAGAAGGCCGCTGGGAGACATCGCGCGTCAGGCCATAGTTCGAGTGGAACCCGAAAGGGAAGCGGCGAGTGGGACGTCCAAGGGTGACATGGAGGAGATCGTGTGAAGAGGAATTGAAACAGTATGGACTAACATGGATGCAGGTGAGAAGTACAGCAGAAGACAGAAGCAAGTGGGGACGTGTATTTGAAGCCCTATGTTCCACTAGGAACTCAAAGGAACAATAATAATAATAATTAAAGATAGTTAAAACAGTGATAACAGCTTTTAAAAAGCCTAGGCGAAAGCGAAAATTGTCCAACGTTTTTCACAATGATGGTTATAGTAAGATAAGTATATGTGGGAATTTCGCCTGAACAAATGAGTTTGGCTTCTTCTTAGGTAGATTCAGATAAATGTTAAATAGGAATGCGTAAGGCGAAACTGAATCCCAAACTAAGACGAAACAGCTGTCCAGTACTTCTAGGTTTTCCAATGATTCCCTAACCACCACCACGTTAGCTTATGATGAAATTCTCTGACCAATCAAATCCTTGCAGGCTAACACTTGAAAGTGAAATTTCTTGGAATACAGTAGATAACTTCACATGCCTTGTAAACATTGACTTTATTTTAAATATCTACGAGGTAAGCTAAAACACCTTAGCTACATAGGATGATGGTCAAAAATTCTTTGGAGAACACCTAATGAAACTGGCTTCACAACAGCAGTCAAACTGGTAGGCGAAATTAAGCAGTTTTTCGCCAATTTGTGAAAGTAAAATTGGAATTTATACACAAACCAAGTTCGCATTAAACAGTTTGAAAAAAATTTGGACATTGAGTATATGGTATTCATTAGTATAAGAGATTTTGTATTATCCAATGAATAAAAAACAAAAAACAGCATCATTTACTGGATAACGTTTAGAATACAATTTCGTTGTACAGAGGTATACAAAATGCGATTCTACAACTCCGAAACTAGTTTTACATAGTAACAGTCTTCCTCTTTCATTTGTCTTAAAGATAACAGTATCTTATTAACACCGCACTTAGAATGAGTGTGGTATCATTCTTATCGCATATATCTGCAGATGATTCCATAAACAGATGTTCTTTTACTAATGATTTGATCATCTCCATGCTGGTTACATCTCAGTATGATTGCTTCAAAATGAAATTAGTCAGTTGTCTTTGTCGAATGGCTTTAAGCTAAATCCCTTCAAATGTCAGGTAGTTAATTCCACTTTCAGACAGAGACATGATTCATATGAACCGGTTCGTTGCTGTGATTCTTGTGTCATAGAAGACACTGAAATTGAAACTAAGTCGAATGTTAAATACCTTGGATTAGGTGTTTTCTCTGATCTTTCTTGGTCTTCACACACATCATGCTAATTTCTAGAAAGATATTCCGTTTAATCTTCTACGTGAGAAAGTTATAACAATCTGGTATCACTCAGTCAGTCTCTACTTTTACGGTTTGTTAATTCTTGTATTCTACCTATTCTTCCTAATTGCTCCACAGCAATAATTCTTTCCCGGGTTGCTTAAGAAAGACTACATAATACAAAAAAGAAAATATGGCGCAGTAATGTATACGAACATACCTCCACCATAATTTTGGGATGGGGTTGAACGTTTCAACCGTCAAGTTTTGCCATCAGTCCATGAATATATATTATCAGTTACACATTTTCTATTGTCCTTCATTTCGCTTCATTGTTTTCCATAATCCTGTATCCCAATATTCATGAATTCATCACTGTTGAAGCTGAGGAAGAAGTTATCGAAACCGCAATTGTTCGCTTACAAATCGTCCTGTTCTGATGACACTGTGGGGAGTTTTGATTTACTCGCAGTATTATTCCTAATTGAAAACAGTTAGTTCTCTTTATGAATTTAGACAAAGCAATAAGAAGACGTAATTTGTCTGAATCGTGTAATGTATTTGCACGCACAGCACACTTTGAACAATCTGATCACACACAGACTTGTCATAGGAATGTATATGAAATTAATAAAGAGTTAGGAGATGAGAAAATAGACTTAGGTCAAGTTAGAAGGATATTTTGAAGGTCAAAATAACAATGATGACCATTAAACCAAATAACAGAGGTAATAGTACATCTGCTATGGTATCAAAACAAAGTTCACCAAGAAAGGTGGTTTAGTATGATGACGAATTGTTTTTGAAAGCATAGAGGCGGTTTAAACTTTCTAATTGCCAGTTAGGGCTTCCACAAACTTTAGGATACACCCCAAACATGTTTTATAGATAGGTTTAAAAGATGTGTTAACGTCAATTTTATGTCCTGTCTCTATAATATGTTTGGCAATAGAAGAGCTAGGTCTCCTGTTCTCACCATTAATGGGTTCTGAAGATTCTGTTTGCTTCTGGAGCCATTTAGGAATATGCTCTGAAGCCAGACCTTACTTTCAGAGATCGATGAGTCCTCCCCATGTATGTGTCCACACGAGCATTCAAATTGTTAAATCATTTAAAAAATTCCATTTGTCAGTACCATTGTCTTAATTCATTTTATTAGTATTGTTATTATTATTTGAATAACGTTATATGTTATTAGAAGACAGAGACTACCTGAAAAATGTGATGCGATGTATTCGCTCAATACATTTCAAACACAATCTGATCACAAACACACACACACTTACTTGTCAAGTCAATTTATACGAAAAATAAAGGCCGATTAAAATAAACACAGTGACAAATAGGATTTGAAAATGCTAAGAATAATTAACACAACGTTTAGTTATCTCATCAGATAAGGAAGAAAAACGCTGGAAATTCCCTTCTGTATCATTATTATTGTAGTTTGAAACATAGTGATTATTATTATTACTGACAAAACATTCTATCGTAAATTTTCATTTACTAATTTTCAAATGACATTTTTCTTTTAGCCTTCTTTACAAAGTGCATTTCTCGATTTGTGCTTACATTTAACTACTGTGCTATGCTGTCGTATGACACCTCTTCAAAAAGCATCTGTAGTTCAACTTGTACGTACTGGTTTAGCAGACTATGGTGAATCCCCAGTAACAGCTGCAATAGGTGATGGAGGCAATGATGTTGCAATGTTATTACAAGCTAATATTGGAATTGGTGTATTTGGCAAAGAAGGTAAAGAGGCTGTACGTGCATCAGACTATGCTATACCACAATTTAAGTAAGTGGTTTATTGTATGTCTTTTGTGATTTTTTTATTTTACTGTTGATTGATTGAACTGAAATGTTCGGTCTCTGTTACCAGGTGAGCTCCAGTTATGGATGCTTCAACAATGTCTGAGGATTTACTGGAATCCGAATTATGTATTTTATCCTATGTGCTAATCAGAAATCACAACTGAATTGATGAGGACTCTATGAAACAGTTATTCCAAGTCAGTAACCACTAATTAATGTATGATATCTCTGAAGATACTGGCATTTGATAGGCAACTTCGTCAGCAAGATGCTATGTCTGTTGATATGATAATACTACTGGTTTGTGGGTTCTTTACTGAAATCGTGACTTATACTGACTACTAATTCATTCACCCTCTTAGCCCGTGAAAATGAATTCAAAAGATAGAATGAATCAAGTTGGTGAGAACATTTTATTGTAAAAGAAATGTATTATATATATATATATATATAATTTTCAAAAATTGCATTTCACCAACCGCAACGTTTTGCTCATCTACTCTCGTTCACCCAGGAAATTACAACTTGTTTTATGTTTCTATCAGTATTACTGTAAAAAAGTGTGTCACTCTCGTTCGATTCACTTGATAGAAGCCATTAAATTTTAGCCATCAGTCGACAAAGAAATCTTGCTTGTCTTCTCCTTTTTCTTCATTCCGGTCGTTAATTGCCAGTACCGTGTACTTGAGAATTAAACGAAAGCCATGTTGTCCACTAGTTTCAAATACCATAACTTATGACTGACATACATCTTAACGTACACAAAAATAAGTTGCCTGCAACAGCCCTGTATTTATTATTATTATTGTTCCCCTGGGTTCCTAGTGGAACATAAGGCTTCAACTACACGTCCCCACTTGCTTCTGTCTTCTGCTGTACTTCTCACCTGCATCCATGTTAGTCCATACTGTTTCATCTCCTCTTCACACGATCTCCTCCATGTCACCCTTGGACGTCCCACTCGCCGCTTCCCTTTCGGGTTCCACTCGAACTATGGCCTGACGCGCGATGTCACCCAGCGGCCCCCTCAACGAGTATCCAATCCATTTCCACTTTCTCCTGCATATTGGTTGGGCGATTGGTTCTTATTTTGTTTGTTCCCGTAGTTTCTTGTTGGTGATTCTTTCCGGCCATCTGATCTTCAGTACAGAGCAAAGACACTTAATGATAAAGGTCTGTAACAGGCTGTTGGAAATATTCTTTGTGACCCGCCGCCAAGTTTCTGATCCGTATAGAAGAACAGCCCTGTAGGAAGAAACTTATATTCGAAAAAAACGTTTGGTGAACTCTTCTTCCTCTAGAGTAGACAGGAATTCATAAATTTTCAGTAATTCACTGAAAAATAGATGTAAACTTAAAGAGTGAATTCAATAATCAACTTACCGAGACATCATGGACATCATCCGAATAACTTTCAGAAGGATAAATGTTTTGTTTTCATTCCTTGAGTCCATAGTGGAACAGAAGTCTTCACGCTTTTCGACGTTTCAGAGGCGTTGGTGTTGGTTATACGGAGTGAAAATTCTAACCTCTTGCTTAACTTGCCCTCTCTAACGCGTTTACTATTGCATATTAAACTGGGCGAGGTTTAAGAGTACATTGGTCGAGAAACGAACCTTGACCTCCCTTTTCACTGGTAATCATTCTACCACTCAACCACCAACGTACATACACACATACATACAATCAAATGACTTACTGACTGGTTTCAGCGTAGAACTTTGCACAGATGTGCAACAGTTCAACTTGCCACACTCCAGAAAGTAAGAGAAGAGAGTAAAGAGAGATTCAAAAGAGAGATAATAAACAGAAATATAAGACAAAAAGAACAGTAATATAGAGGAACAATAGAACTTTATTGGATGCGACAAATCATAAAGAGTCAATGCATCTGCGGCAGTGACAACGATTTTCAACAACATCACCAACGTTTTCCAGCCTTCATTGGTTTTTACCATCCCAATGACCCCAATCAAGAAGTCCACACCTCCCTACGTGACTGGCTGGCTTAAACTAACTGTTGTGGATTTTACTGACTGATGAAGCCATGTTTTGGTTTGACCACCATTGGCTCTTTCTTAACCTGATCCTATGTCAATCGCGAACCCGAATAGCTCAGTGGTAACGTCTCTGACTGCAGCACTGGGTGACGCGGGTTCAAAACTCAGAAGGGACATGAGTTCCTTCAAGGTTGCAGATACACCTTGCTGACTGCTGAGAGCTAACTTGTGTGGTGAGAGCTGTCTGCAAGCCAAAACTGTAGACAACAATTTACATCAATGTTCACGTCCCGAATCAGGGTCATGAGGAAAACAATAACAAAGCTTAACCTTGAGAAAATCACCAGTCAATCACAGCTGAGTTAAAGGGTGGAAATATGATCCGCAGATATATGGCGCGATTTTCCGAAAAACAGCCACTAAGAGATAACAGAATAACCTTCAGCAAGGAAACAGCCAATCAGAAGAGGTTGCCTCTCCGCTAACAATAATGTACATAAAAATTTATAAATACCTCTTGATTTTCTGAATAAATGATCTGTTAGCTGGCCCTCGTCTTCTGTCGTTACACTAGGACAAAACTTAAGTCAAAGGCTTCCTGCCGATTGCCTCCAACCATCTAATATCATCAAATTAATATGCACCGTGATGGCGGGATACCTAGAATGGTAGCCACATTGCAAACCTGACTGATGGAATTCCGTCTGCATCAAAGAAAGGACTGAACACACCACACTAATTACTAGTGTCCAATCAAACTGATCCTATGTCACCTAACCTTGCCCGTCGATGAAGGCGATGGTTAGACATGCATCCGCAACACATGTTCTAACCATCTCACTCAATCGATGTAACTTCACAACCTCATCACTTGATTTCCCCTCGTTAACTAGCACTCGACCGACGCCTAACCTCAATATTGCTCACCCTATAATACCACTTCACACGGGAGAGAAATTCAGGCACCTATGGTAAAAGACAGCTAACCAGCCTTTTTGTGTCTTCCACTCTCAGTGGCCAGGTCTCACAGTCATAATGAGTGAGGACGGAGCGAACTGCTGAGCAGTACACATGCCCTTTCGTCGATAGCCGGATATCACGTCTATATAAAAGACGGCGTAAACTGACATATGCGAAACAAGGTTTGCGTATCCGTACTGAAATTTCGTCAGCAATCAATCCGCTGGTACTGGCTGATGTAACTTCTCAAATAAGTCAAGTGGTCAACACGCTCCACAAACCACTTCACTCCTGCCTATTTCTAAGCTAGGAGTCGATGTAGTCCAGTCCTGTAGCATCATCTTACATTTGAGAAAGGGAGAGAATCGCATGCTAAAAATTCGCAGATTGCAGCTCAAGATGTTTAGAAGACGACTCTGCATTTTGTCAGTGTCCTCACCCATAAGGACCATATCATCTGCATATTCTGAGTCAACGAGACTATTACTCTCTGATGGCAACATGTCAATCCCTGAGTCGGTGAAGTCAGTTAGAATAAAGTTCATTAATACATCTATAATGAAATTAAGCAGAAATGGAGACAGTGAACATCCCTGACGGATACCGCTGATAATGAAATATTTCTTTTTCCATAATTAACACTTTAAATATTGGTATTTTGTATGAATTAATTTACAGACGTAAATTGTTTTCCCTTATTCTGATTTCTTTCTACTCTAAACCTTATAGATATCTACAGCGTTTATTATTGGTTCATGGACATCAGTCTAATTATCGAATCTGTATGACAATGAATTTATTCTATTATAAATGTGTTACATTTGTAACAACACAAATTCTATACACATTCTATAGTGGTTATTCAGCTGTATCAACATTTGAAACTGTTCTATTCTCTATATACAATTTAACTGTGACATCATTAATGTGTCTACTGTTTGGTATGTTTGAACGTCATTTACCAGATAAGATACTAAATGATAATCCTTATCTTTATAGATTGGTAAGTTTTATTTAAGCAATTATGATAACTGTTTTTTTTCATGTTTTATTTATGGTATTATTTAGCCGACACCAAGATTGCCCATGACCTCTCATCTCTTCGCCACACCATCTTATCTAGGTCATATGAAAAAGAGAAGACATTCAGCGAAGAGACTCTTTTCGGCGAATTCATTCACATAGCTGTACAATCGCATTTATATATAATTATTTGTGTGTGTGTGTGTACATGAGGTTTGTCAAGTTTAGATAATTGATTAGTTAATACAAGAATGATGTAGTATAGAGACAAAGTTAATCAGACAGCAACTAAAGTAAGATTGAGTTAGTAAGCTGGATGACGTAACATAAATGACTAGAAACTGAGCGTTGTTCAAGTCAGTAACAGTGGTAGTGAGGTGTAGAAATTGAATCGGGTGGGGGTAGAGAAAAAGAAAGCTGAAAATGTAAAATATTACAATTGAGAAGACAAAATAATACTAATGAAGAGACAGAAGAAAGGAGATTAGGTAGAATTTACACGTCGACTAATAAGATAGATTACGTCCATTGCAAGTGTAGTGATTGAACGAACTTCTTCTGTATGCAGAGTTCAGGACTTAGCAAGTGAATCGCCATTGCTTCTGCAGTTTGAAGAAGTCTGATTCGTACACCTTTAGGGAGACTACTTCTTACTCTGTAGACGACTTTGAAGTTTGTTTGTGGTGTAGCTTGGTGTCCGGATTCTATCAGATGTTCTAAGATGGAACTGTGGGGGCATCGATTTTCTCCTTTGTAAAACCATGTTGGTAAGTGCTCGGTGATACCTAATCTCCTTTCTTCTGTCTCTTCATTAGTATTATTTTGTCTTCTCAATTGTAATATTTTACATTTTCAGCTTTCTTTTTTCTACCTCCACCCGATTCAATTTCTACACCTCACTACCACTGTTACTGACTTGAACAACGCTCAGTTTCTAGTCATTTATGTTACGTCATCCAACTTATTTGCTCAACTTCACTTCTACTTAGTCTCTACCTGTAATTACCTCTGTTGCTATCCTGACCTAAGTTGTAACATTTTAGTCAATTATATTACGTCATCCAGCTTACTAACTCAATCTTATTTTAGTTGCTGTCTGATTAACTTTGTCTCTATACTACATCATTCTTGTATTAACTAATCAATTATCTAAACTTGACAAACCTCATGTACACACACACACACAAATAATTATATATAAATGCGATTGTACAGCTATGTGAATGAATTCGCCGAAAAGAGTCTCTTCGCTGAATGTCTTCTCTTTTTCATATGACTCAATGGGGATTTTATCTAAGTCACCCTATAAAAAAAGCCTAACTATTTTCTTATTCGGGTCCTAATACAGCGATGGCCTGATATGCTATATCATCTAACGGTCTCCCCAGCCTATATTCATTCAATCCATCTGCATTTTCTTCGAAACACCTATTGAACAATAGGTTGCTGGTTGATTTGTCCCCAGATTTTCTTGCTGTTAATCCTTTCTGATCTGCCATCTTCAATCAGCGAAGAAAGTTGTTGACAGAAGTCTACAGTGGCCTGTGCGAAATGCTTTTCTTGACGTGTTTGTCATATTTCTGACCCAAATAGACGAAGAGGTGACTGACTGTCTTAACATTGGTGTTGAAAATCCGAATTGCGCTTGTTTATGTTGAGTGCAGTAGATTTTCGCATTGATTTCAGGTTAGGGAATGTCTTTATCTTGCCTCACTATTTCTGCCTTTGATATCTTCACCTGTACCACTGCCTGTAGCTGAAACGATGCTGCTTGGATAGATTGATATTATTTAGACGGCCATTGAAAACTAAGAAGCAATGAACAGTTGTATTGTCTTAGTTCTAGATTATTTAGTAGACAGCATCAAATCCAGGAGTTTTTACGGGTTGATCACGGATTGATATCAGCTAGAAAACCATTGAAAACCAGCAGAAAGTACTGGACAGCTGTTTTATCCTAGTTTTGGAATCATCGGCTGTACGCACCCACCAACGGGGTTCAAACCCAGGCGCTTCCAGTTACAAGACAAGCATGGGTGCGTACTGTCGAGGATTGCCAAACTAGGATGAAACAACTGTCCAGTACTTTCTGCTGGTTTCCAATGGTTTTCTAGCTGATATTAATCCGTGATCAACTCGTAAACAAACAAAACTAATACTTCAAACCAACTATAGAAAATCCAGGAGTGTCAGATCTAACAGTCAGCATGAAAGGAATCACCCCCTCTTGAATTAATTTACTCATTCTGTCAATGCAAATCATGTTCTGACCAAATTGCAACTCTACGCATCATCATCACAGAACAAAGCATGGAATGGCAATCAAACCTCTATCTCAACTTCATCGACTTTGAGAAGGCCTTCGACAGCGTTGACCGAGAAGTAATTTGGAAACTACTCGAGTACTACGGCGTACCCCAAATATTCATCAACCTTATTCAACAGCTGTACGACAACAGCACATGTCCAGTGATCCACAACGGAAAACTCAGCGAGGCGTTTGGAATAAACACAGGAGTCAGACAAGGGTGCTTATTATCACCAATGATATTCCTAATCGTAGTGGACTGGATTATGCGTCAGACAGTGGGAAACGAGAAGACAGGGATATCCTGGATCGACGTGAAGAACCTAGAATACCTGGATTTCGCGCGTGGATGATTTATGTTTGATGTCACACAAAATCGAAGACTTACAAGCGAAAATCGACAAACTGGTCGAAGAAGCAGCCAGAGAAGACAGGACTCCAGGTGAACATAGACAAGACGGAGGTTATGAAAATAACCAACCAACCAACAACAACAACAGCAGCAACATCCAGCGCCAATCACCATCAACGGGAGGGATTTGAAAGAGGTTACTTCATTCACTTATCTAGGGAGCATTGTCTCAACTACAGGCAGGTGGAACGGACGAGGATGTCAAATCGAGCGAGAATTGGGAAGGCGAGAAACACATTCATCAACCTGAAATCAATCTGGAAATCTTCGTCACTCAGCCTGCATCAACAGCAAAACTCGGATTTTCAATACAAACGTCAAGTCAGTTCTTCTTCTATACGGATCAGAAACTTGACGGCGGGTCACAAAGAATATTTCCAACAGCCTGTTGCAGACATCTATCAACAACTGTCTTCGCTCTACACTGAAGATCAGATGGCCGGAAAGAATCACCAACAAGAAACTATGGGAACAAACGAACCAAGAATCAATCGCTCAACAAATATGCAGGAGAAAGTGGAGATGGATTGGACACTCGCTGAGGAGGCCGCTGGGTGACATCGCGCGTCAGGCCAGTGCTCGAGTGGAACCCGAAAGGGAAGCTAGTGGAGAGTGGGACGTCCAAGGGTGACATGGAGGAGATCGTGTGAAGAGGAGCTGAAACACTATGGACTAACATGGATGCAGGTGAGAAGTACAGCAGAAGACAGAATCAAGTGGAGACGTGCAGTTGAAGCCCCAAGGGAACAATAATAATAATAAGTTGGAAAATTGACTCTACTTAATTTTTAATTGACTTGTAGTTGTCAAAAACAGGCGACTTCTCTAGAGTTTATGCTTATCATCATTACCCAGAAGACATATTTCCAACGTCTTCTCTGATAAAAACGTTTACCAAATTAAAATTAAGTTATCTTCCTAGAATTAAATTAATAAGTTTGAAACTAAGTGAGTGTCATTCACTTTTCCACGTAAATGTGCACGCTAAATTGCACTGATCTTAGTAGAAAAAGCTGTAGTAATTCAATTGTCAATTTATTTTGGGAATCACCAAACGAAAATGTCTACATTCCAGTCATCAGTAAGAATTCATGAATTTCTAGCCTGAAGTGTACAAAGATGTTAGGCGGTTACACCTGCTTCATGCAAGAAGTGATTTCAGGCAAACAACTACCAATAATTAGCTAGTGTTGTGATAGCCTGCTTGGAAATGAACCAAAATAAGACTGGCAAATAAGGTGCCTTAAACAAATAAGTGTCGACTGAGTAGTTTTACTACAAGAGACTTCATTGTCGTTCAAAGGTATTTATTCACAAAGTTATTACCCTAATTTCCAGAATTTTATCATGAGATGTAATGCATAGAGGCTGAAGTGAACTGATCTTTGAGAGCTTTTAAAACTCATATCGGATTACTAAGCTACATAGGCGTCAAATGCGTGCATCAGTTCAATCCACTTTTCTTGGGAAAACTAGTGACTCAGTGTCATAATTTGTCTTTCTAAGCAATTTTCTGGCGGGAAAATACCGAAAACACTCACTGCATCTTGAAACAGCTGAGAGTAACAAATATCAAGCAAGAAGAAAACTGACGATCAGTTGTCTACAACAATTCAGTGCTTGAAACAAATACTCACAGACATCAGTAATTCAGGCGTAAATGAATAGAATGCATAAAGTTATTACCATCAGATTTTTTATTGAGCGTAAGATGGCACCAATCAACTTGAAGGAGGTCATTTCCTTCACTTATCTACGTAGAATCCTTTCAACTACAGGCGATAACACAGATGAAGATGTCTAAACCAGAATCGGAGAAGCAAGACAGACTTTCATTATTCCAAAATCAGTTTACACGTCTTCTGCACTCAGTATAAACTACAAAATTCGAATTTTCAACACCAATGTTCAGACAATCAGGCACTTCTTCTGTATGGGTCAGAAAAATGACTAAACATGTCACGAAAAGCATTCTGCACAGGCTGCAGCAGACTTCTGTCAACAACTTTCTTCGCTGATTCCAGACTGAAGGTCGGGATGGTAGGCTAAAAAGGATTAACAGCAAGAAAGCAGTCAAGAATCTCCTGCTCATTCCATATTAGTTTGTTTATTAGATGTATCAAACAGTGAAACAGTATTATTATTTACTGGATAACACAGTTTCCAACAAAATTCATTGTTCATAATCATATCAACTATAAATACACGACTTCGAAACCTGAGTTTTATAGTTTTCTTTGTTCCCTCCTATTTGTCGTAGGGGTAGTAGGATTTTCCAGATGTCTTGGTGGACAGGTGTTGAATCATTCCTATTACACGTGTTTGCAGTTTATTCGGCAAGAAAAGCTTCTGTTATCAACCTCCCCCTCCACAGGGGCAGTCAGACTATCCGAGCATAAAACCCTAGCAAAATGTAGATTAGTTGACCCGAATAATATAAGAAATCTAGAGAATAGTTCAGCTATAGCACTACATGCAGTCACGCACAACCACACAGTAGAGTGGGATAAGATAACAGTTTTAAAATCTAATGTCACAGGGTGGAGGGAGAGATTGATAACGGAGGCTCTTCTTGCCGAATAAACTGCAAACACGTGTAATAGGAATGATTCAACACCTGTCCACCAAGACATCTGGAAAATCCTACTACCCCTACGACAAATAGGAGGGAACAAAGAAAACTATAAAACTCAGGTTTCGAAGTCGTGTATTTATAGTTGATATGATTATGAACAATGAATTTTGTTGGAAACTGTGTTATCCAGTAAATAATAATACTGTTTCACTGTGTGATACATCTAATAAACAAACTAATATGGAATTACTTACTACCACAGTGCCCAAGTTTTACACATATATTAATTCTTCTACTCAGCAAATATTCCAAAGAAGAGGGAGACGGAATGGACTCACGCTGAGAAAACTCCTGAGGGAATTTGCACGCAAAGCAATCGCCTGAGTGGAAAGGAGTTGTGCATTTGTCTGGGGCTGATATGTGGGAGATCATGCGAGAAGGAGATAAAAGCCTATGGGGCAATCATGCAGCTGGCTACAGATGACTTTAGAGAACAGGATGAAACAGAAAACGATACAAGGATAGAACTTTAGCACTGTGGTAGAGGGTATAACTCCATTATGAATAAAAGTTTTATTTTGATAAAAACATACAAAGGGTTATACAGTAATATTTCCTGATGACCACGTTTCGAGCACAAATTATTTCCACTGATAATCATATCAAAGCAATCACACAACTTCCTTGCTTCATTTATATACATGAGTAAAAGTTGTGCTCAAAACATGGTCATCAGTAAATATTACTGTGTAAACCCGAGTGATTATATCAAAATAAACTTGTATCCATAATGAAATGGAAATGTTGTGTTGAAGCCTTATATTTCGCTTGGAACCCAAACGAATACTAATAGTAAAGGACAGTTATTTACAGTCTCCAAGTAGTCTAAATAAATAAATAAATTGCCGCAAAAAGAGGATTTAGTAATTCGTGAAAGGTATTCCCTTATTAAAGAACACTGTATTCTTTGGTTGAATCTTGAAATCATATGAAAATTTATTCTAGTTACCAACACTTTTCACTTTAAATCACCTTCTCTGATACCGTTAGTAGTATACCAATCTAAGAATAGTGCGAATTGTGTTACCACCGAGGTATTTCCTGTCACTATGGCTGCCTGCTTAAAATTTAAACTAGTAAAAGCTTCCATCATTGTATTGTATACATAATTCTTATTGTTCATCTTCTTTTAATCTATTAAAATATAACCTATGATGGTATTTTCTGCCCCCATGAGTATTTAAAATATTTACAACCTGCTAACATGCAAGTCCCTACTGAACTTTAGAGAAAGCACAACTGTAGATGACAACGTAGATGACAATACATGAAATAACTGTTCCTGAGATTTTTGGTACAAGGTGCCATTGTCTGAAAAATTCAGCTAATTGCTTGCAGTCTTCACTTATTCAGTTATGTCTGTGGATCTCAAAATATACTCCTGCTTCTTCTTCATTGATTGACTTTCAACCAGGTGTCGTGCATTTCTCGAAGAAGACAAGTAAGAAATAGCATAAGGGATTGGTTTACCCACCAGAGAACACAACTACATCAAAAAATCTGTATACATCCCATACTGAGTAACTGACTGGTTCCAACATAGAACGTTGCACAGATGTTCAGCAGTTCGAGTCGCCGCACTTCACTTAGCACACAAAGTCAGAGAAGAAGAAGAAGAAGAAAGTGAGATGCAAAATAGAGACAGTAAACAGATATGAGGCAAAAGGAATAGTAATATCGAAGAGCAATATAATTTTATTGGAAATTATAAGTCACAAGGAGTTGATGCATCCGCACCATTGAGAACGATTTTGAGCCATATCACCCATTGTCTCCAGCCATTGGTGTTTACCGTCCTGAGGACCCCAACCAGAAAGTCTACACCTTCCAACTTGGCTTAAACTAACTGTTGTGGAATTCGTTGACTGATGTCACGTTTTAGTTTGACCACCACTGACTCTTTTCCAACCTGATCCATCCTTTGTCAGCTTACATTGCCCGTCGAGGAAGGCGATGGCTGGGCATGCATGAGCAACACATGTCCTAACCATCTCACTCAATCGATGTAACTTCACAGCCTCGTCGATTGATTTCCTCCCCCCCATCCTTAACTAGTACTCGACAGAAGCCTAACCTCAAAATTGCTCACCCTGTTATACCACTTCATACGGGAGATAGAACTCAGGCGTCTTTGGTCAAAGACAGCTAGCCTTTCCATGTCTTCCACTTTCAATGGCCAATTAAACTGCCCCTCATAATGTTCTTTCCAACTTTCTAATAGTCTATCGTGGGAGGTAATTATGATGACATTTTTCTCACTTATCATTTGTCTTTTCCCACCTGTTTCCCTGATAAGTCTAAATAGTTGTCTGGTGTTACCAATCGCCAATGCCTTTTCCATCTCTTTCTCTATAATTGTCGCCCACCATTGTTCACAGTCGTTTCGAAGACTTCTTGTTAGTTTTCGTTTGAGTACCTTTCGCTCCTCATCATAATCGGAACTCGCTGGAATCAATCTTCTTGCGTCAATCAGTTTATGAATCATTCCCCCAACAAGCAATTTGATCTTTTTATTACATACTGAATACATATGCAGCTAACTGATTGATTGTTCTCCTAATCAATAAGTGAATTTTGAAATGTGCATTATTATTAAATATTTAATTTCAATGTATTTTTTATTTTTATGTACATATATATGAACACTTAACACCCGATAGCTTACTCGTCAAGCAAATTTAAGATCATGGTATATTTGGCTGTGGATATTTGATGGAATTTGGCATGGTAGTGTAATATTTTATGCAGCTACTTATATATTCCTTGGTGGTGGTCTGTACTCTGAAGGTACATTTTATGAATCGTATGGAAATGTTCAACATTTATTCGATATGAGTCTTTATGGCTGTGCAACCTACCTATTTGTATGGCTATCAGTAACACTACGTATATTTATTGTTACACGTGACTTCAATATTGTTGTATTCGGTGGATTTCTTATTACAATGATTGTGAACACTATCATATTGATGGCTTTACAGGTAAATGATGTCAGTTTGTTTTTGTTTTTTCCTTTTAAAAGTATCATAAGTTGTCAAATGAACTGTGGTCAAGATTTGACAGAATAGTTCTAAAATATTTGGGCGCTGAGTGATCACAGGTCATAAAATTTTGTTTATTATACTTGTTCATACTTGTTGAATGATTCATGATTGGACAAAATTTTTAAAAACAAGTGATGTTCCTTTTTATATATAAACCTATTTTATGCTAATTTCGATCAATTTCCCTGAAGAAGTTCGGAGCAGATTGCTGAACGAAACGTTGGAATCACTCATTTCAATCTCATTGAGATTTTACAAATGTAATTAGTTGTGTTTGATGAAAGTGTTACTTACTGAATGACTGATTTTACCGGTTTACAGAATGTATTCTTTGGCTATCTATCAGTTCCGTATGTGATATTACTATTTAGTAAAGCATTGATAAGAAAAACATACAGGCTTAGATATGATAGAAATTTGTAGCTCAGGTGGATGATTTTGATGTGATTATGTTCTCTGAGCTGGATAGTTAATTTGCGAAGCTTTCATCACCCTACTAGGTGACATCTTCAGCGCATACTTCAATTTGAAGTGAGCTTTTAGATTTCTCCACGAGTTTATTAATCATCTCTCCCGGTGACCTTGAAGGTGATTGGTTGTTTTTGTGTGTTTTCACACCTTCTAGGTCACTTGTATTGGAACTGATTGTTTCTTTGATTTGAACCTTGACACTTTGTGTGTGAGGTTTCTTTCTTATCGGTTGATAAATTTTGTCTATCTCGATGTGTCCACTGATTGGTGATTCACTGGAATGCCAAGCTTCTAAAAATTCTCTAGCATTCTTGCTGTTTCCTTTGTATAATATTTGAACATTGTCCCAGTCGAAGTTATGTCCGTGATTGTCTGTATATAGTGATATGAGGGAGTGGATATCATGTCTTTTGACGGCTAGCTTATGTTCGTGGATACGAAGACGAAGGAGACGTCCACTCTGGCCAATGTAGTGTTTTTCACAGTGTTACAATTTATTTTGTAGATGATGTTGGTTTTATCTTCTTTCGCTGTTGAGTCTTTTGGTTCACACTGAACTGAGTGAAGTGATTTTGTTGGTTTTTGTGCGACGTCAATTCCAAAAGGTTTGAAGAGTCTTGCAGTGATTTCTGAGATATCCGTCATATATGGTAGGGCTATTTTCTTTGTGCTTTCCTTGGGGACTTTTGGTTTGATAGGTTGGCTTGGGGGTAAATGTCTTTTGATGAGATTCCGTGGACATTCATTCTTTTGGAAGACGTCCATGAGTTCAAGTCAAAGAAACAATAAATTACAATACAAATAACCTAGAAGGTGTGAAAACACACAAAAACAACCAATCACGTCCAAGGTCGCCAGGAGAGATGATTAATAAACTCGTGGAGAAATCTAAAAGCTCACTTCAAATTGAAGTATGCGCTGAAGATGTCACCTAGTAGGGTGATGAAAGCTTCGCAAATTAACTATCCAGCTCAGAGAACACAACCACATCAAAATATACAGGCTTAGAAGTAATATCAAAGAAGATCTGTGGCTCAGATCTAAAAACTCACAAATGCATAACATTGCCCATTTTTTGTCGAAATATTATGCTTTAGTATGGTATAGTCAGTTGTCAAAGCTCAAAAATAAACAATGATTGTCATTACACCTTAAAATACAAACGGTGAAGGCATTTAACACCTTTATCAAAATGACATTCAGAGATGAATATGAATCTTGGTAATGTATGTTTTTGTTTGTATACACGTGGAATTCCAGCATAAAATAACTCAATATCAGAGCTTACTATAATCTTATTCTTAAAGAGCAAAAAAAGAAGATGAAGCTCGACAAACAGATATCTTTTCGAGGCCAAGTTAAACTTTAAGCACCACTAACTATCAATCAGAGAATGACCTCGAATAGTCCAATGAGGTTCATGAACGTGAGTTCAGGGTTGTATAGCGCTTGATTCGTTTCAGATGCGTGCTCTAGCGAACTTACGCTTGTAGTTCCAGGAGGATAAGATTTTGCAGTATTACCTGGATTTGAGGTTGCTTAGGAAGGAAAGGATCTGTTCATGTGATGGTGTCATGAGTTTAAAAAGCTTTAGCAGGTCGATTCATGGATGTGTCCATCGTTGTGCAATTTGTTTGAGACGAGTTATTATTAGAGAAGGTAAGCAGACAGTTTCATTATTTCGTAGGAACATTTTTTGCTAGGTCGCATCTCTCCCTAACCCAGATTTTGTATATTTGCAACTTCTGGGTTTTAAAACAGCCTGTGAGAGGCGCATCTGCTGAAACCAGAAAGAGCCTCGTGCCAACAGTTCCGTGGTACCAGCAGTGCAGAGACATTGCATCATGTTGTTGGAAGGAGGAGGCATCGTCGTGCACGTGAACGAAACTGTGTTACTGAAGAAAAAATACAACCGTGGTCATGAGCGAGGCAACAATGTTCGGGTTTCTTGTTTATATGACACCTCCCTACGGAAAGGATTCGTAGAGAAAATACCAGACAGAAAGTCAACTACTTTAATACATATTATTATTAGACTTGTGAAACAGGGATCCATAGAACATACTGATGAATGGAAAAGTTACAACTCGTTGTCATCTCTTGGATATATTCATTACAGAGTGAACCATTCTCGTGATTTTCTGGATCCAATTACAGGGACATACACGAATTCTATAGAGATTTTGGGGAAGATTAAAAATAGGATTAGGGCTATAAATGGATCTTAAAAGAATCTCATTTATAGTCATTTGGATAAAGATATGTACAGAATGTGGTGTGACTTTTCTACTGACACTCCTATGCTAAACTGGGAGATTTTTCTGTTACATGTTAAAGAAAGATACCCTATGTAACAGTTTTACGCAGTTTTTATCTTTTTTTCATAAATATACGTTTTCCTTTATCAAAAACCGCTCTTTCATTTGATTGGTTCTTTGAAAGTCGTTTGCTGATTGGTAGTTAGTGGTGCTTAAAGTTTAACTTTGCCTTTTTCCTAAAAAAGAAACTGAGCAAAGAATATTCTCTTCGACAATTTCCTCTTCTGGTTCTAAAATTAGAAATATGTACATTTATATACACAGAATATTCTAGAATATTCGTCATTAAAAATATTGGCACTTTTAAGTACGATCAATTTGTTAACCAAGATCAATGGAATTACAATTCAAGAAAGAAAGAAAGAAAAAATAGAATATGAAATAACTTTAAGGAAATTTCCACAACAAAGTGGGGATCATTATTACCTTGATAACCAAGGTAAGGAAAGTCTCTGAACCAAATACTTTAGGATACATAAGTTAGGTTTCTCAATGTAGATCCAAAAAGCGTCAGTAATATGTAGCAGACGAACTCTTAAAGTAAAGTTAAGATTACTTGGTATGCGGTGGATAACTTTGAAAGCCTCGTTAACATCAATCTTACACTTTCTGTATCCATGAGATGAGATAGATTAGAACTATGAATGGATTTTGTTTTTCCTTTACTTAACTACGCAGGATGGGTTATCGTCGGATTTCGGACGATGTTAATCAATAAATACATGAGACTAAATACTACTCAGTGATCGAGATGAGTAGTTTTATGCCACAAAAATCACATATATTGCGATCTGATTAATTTGGATTTCCGAAGGAAACTGTGGTGAAATTTATCATCTCAAACTATGAAGATTCCTGGGCAACACCACCAACAGCAACAACAACAACAACAACAGACAACAATCAGCATAAATGGGAGGAACCTGAAAGAAACAACCTCTTTTACCTATCCACCTACCTGGGAAGCATCGTTTCAACTACAGGAGAACGGAACTGACGAGGATATCAAAGCAAGAATCGGAAAAGCAAGACAAGCTTTCACTACTCTCAAGTCTGTGTGGAGGTCAACAGCACTCAGCATCAAAAATAACATCCGGATTTTCAACTCCCATGTGAAGTAAGTGCTACTATACGGATCAGAGACTTGCACTGCGTGTCATAAAGAGCATCTCAAACAAACTACAGACCTTCATTAACAGTTGTCTTCGCTCAATACTCAAGATCAGATGGCCAGCCGGCCAGTAAAGATCATCAACAGAGATCTGTGGGAGCACACTAATCAGGAACCGATTGTGATACAGATAGGCAGGAAGAAATGGAGATGGATTGACTGGCCATACTCTGAGGAAACAATCCATCAAATGACATCACTAGACAAGCCATTGCTCGAGTGGAACCCGAAAGGGAAGCAGCGAGTTGGTCATCAGTGCAAGGGTGACTTGGAGGAGGTCATGTGAAGAGGAGATGAAAAGGTGTGGGCAGACTTGGAGCCAGGTGAAGACTCTAGGAGAGAACCGAACGCAGTGGAGACGCATGGCTGAAGCCCTATGTTCCTCTAGGAATTAAAGGATACAATAATAATAATAAACTATGTAAACTAAAAACTGCTAATTAGTTAAGAACATATTAGTCAGCAAACAGACCTCTTCTCGTAACTTCACTTCAGCGATGTATGGTTATAGGGCGGGGGGGTTATAATTCACTCAATGTGCATTGACAGCAGAGGTCAAAAGTTACTGCTAGCTAGTAACAAAACTAATCAAAGTGTATGATCAATAACAGTGTTTAAAAATTTGAAAATAATCTTACGCAATCAAGAGGGTTGACAAATAATCAGTTGAGTGATGAGTAATCGTTTGAAAATAGTTGATAAGAGACAAGAGAACAAAAGATTGAAAATGGGTTGCAAAATATAGGAATAATAAAACGTACTACATGGAACTTATTATAGAGTTATTTAGGAGAACAAAAACGAAAAACAATCAATACTAATTCAATCAATCGGGAAAGCAAGGTGAGCTTTCATTTCTCTCAAGTCTGTGTGGATATCGACAGCTTTCAGAATGAAAAATAAGATCCAGGTACATGTCCTAGCCATCCCAAACTGTGTAACTTCACAACCTTGTCGACTGATCTCCCCTCCCACCTAGCTAGCACTCAACCGACGCCTCACCTCAATATCGCCCACCATATTACACCACCTAACATGGGAGATAGAACTCAAGCACCTATCATCAAAGACAGCCAGCCTTTTCATGTCTTCCACTTTTCAATAGCCAAGTCACACATTCATAAAGGAGAGCAGAGTGAACTGCTGAGCAGTACAAGCGTCGTCTGATCGACAACAGGATATCACGTCTACGCTAGAGATGACATAAGTTAGCGAATGCCATCCGAGCCTTTGTTTTCTCCATGCTGAGATTTCGTCAGCAATCAATCCATTGAGGCTGTGGCGAATTTCTACATGGAATAAATAATTAATTCGATTTTGGCGAGTCTATGAATGCAATATACTCAAAATGCATAGAATAATTATTTCTCAAAAATTTCATATTCATATTATCTGACTATGCATTAAGGTGGAAAAGCCACAGGTCACTCAAGATTATCTCATTATTACATCTCTTTTATGATACTTAATATTGCATTTTTTTTCTCATTTCAGAGTACTACAACATTAGACAATATTAACCTTTTCAGTTATACAAAATTATCAAAAAGTGCAGCTTTTTGGTTTACATTACCAATTGTATTAACAATAGCTAATATACCTTCATTAATATGGAGAATAATGTCAGATGCATGGTGGAATTTACAAATCCAATTAAGTAATATACCACAAAAGCATATACGTCGAAAGTATCGTCGATCACTGTCTGTATGGATACGTGCTTTAACAACTAGTTACCTTGGAAATTCACCTGACCAGATGTATCAGAAGAATACTGATAAAATTGAATCCTAGTCGAATAAAAATACTATTGTGACAAAATGCTTTCAGCCAGGTAACTTGATAGATAATTTGGTTTTTTTTTTATTGCAAAACTTAAATCAGAAATTTCAGTTTCAATACAGAATGCTGTCTGTTGTTCGTTAGTATTTTACGTCTGGCTTTTTTGGATAGAATCAGACATCAACACTATGTTAGTCGTTTGGAAAAGTTTATTTTTTAATAGAAGGGTAGGCAGATGGCATCATCATTCTCATTCTCATTGAAATGATGACCTAGTCAGTGATCTGGTCTCTCAGTTCAGCTGGTAAAGCACCTGCCTATGGTTGTAGACCTATGTCGATTTATGAATTTCGTCACGAAGCAACATCAGTTACAGCGATCACTGAAAACCAAGAAGTAAAGAACAAGTGTTTCTGCTTAGTTTAGGACACACACACACTCATAACCCAACCAGAAATCGAACCCAGGATCTTCACGTGACGAGATCAAGCTGGTTGATCACTGAACCATTTTGGGGGCTGGATTTCAATGACCTGTGATTTCATAAAAATGCCATATATATTAGAGTAGAGCCAGAGATGAGGATCTAATTGAAAAGTAAATATTTCTTCGCTCAATCTTTCTGTTTTCCAAATTTCTAATTCTGTGAATTCATGATATAGTGCTACCCTCACCAATGGTTATGATAAGCACTCACTTCAACTCTGGTCACTACAATTTCAGCGTATCCATCCAGTAGCTCAATTAATGAGCTGGAGATTAAAATTTAGATTGTTGACGTTTCTCCTGAAGTATCCTTGTTTTTGTATTTCAATGGTTAACAAATACTTTTTCTAATTTTTCTAGTAAAGTACTGTTGACATCAAAGCAAATTTTGCCATAAATTTCATAAATCAATAATTTGACTTCTAAGCGTTTATCTGTAAGGGTTAGATTCATCTCACAGAAGACTTCAACATAGACCGAAATCGGTTAAAAAAAGGAAACTACTCAAAATTAGATATCACTGTTTTGTCCTGATTGGGAACCTTTTATCAGGGTTCACCCCCTATCCCACCATAGACCGAATCCAGGATTTTCAGGTTACCTAACAAAAATGAAGTGCAGAATCTTATTTTTTTTAATTTTATATTTTATTATAGATTGATTCCACACAGTATTCTGGTACAAGTGTGGAATTTTCAAAATGTGACATCACACGCTCAGGTGTGCGTCGGCCTGGGATCGAACTCTAAACCATGTGCATGGTCGGCAAGTGTCCTAACCACTGTGCCACCGACGCACATAACAAAACGTATTCCTTATTAATAACGACTATTAGCTAGCAATGTAGCAATACTTAAGACTCTAACAGGTTATAACAGATGTGTTCACCAAAGTTGTACTTCAGAGTGTTAAACAGTGTTGTCATTGATTAAAAATTCAACAGTGCTGACTGAAATTGTAAGACCAAATACTTCAGCTATATTATCTCCACCATCACACTAAATTTTGTGGTTCATTGTATTCAACTATAAAAGTTATATTGTTTAGTTCTCCTATAGCGCCTTTTTCTGTATAAATTTAACCTAATCTGACAAAAATACCTAAACATTTGTTTATATTGTATCCTTTAATTTTAGGGCGCCAGTTTCAAATGTCAACCTGTTGTTCACAATTTCATTTCGTTGTAAATATATGAATTTATGGATTTTAAATTTCTTTTTTTTGTGAATAATTGAAGGAAAAAAAAGCAAGGAAAATGAATTATTTTAATTTTTTTAAAACCGCGCACAAATATGACTAGAATTATACATTGTTTCTAAAGATATCTCGAGTGATTTCTCTACTTTGAGTTCTAAGTTTTCTTACCATTTTCTTACCTGAAATATTTCTTGTACAATCAATTTTATAAAGTATACTGATGTACTTTACTCTTTTGGTTCCTTTTCTATACAACACATTGTATAGAGCATACCATGTCCTAAATCATCTATTATTTTTCTGTCTGTTTTGTTTAACTTATATGTTATTCTTTTCTTACTAGTAGAAGTTTTGTAAATCAGGTCAAGATATGTGCAAGCAGTCTTTGTGAATAAGACTATCTTTCTAAAAAAAAACACCAAGTACTTTTCTTTCATATCATTTTTCCTCTTGATTAGGTATCTTATTTAAAAACTGATGCCTGCCTATTCACCTATTTTTATCGGGATTATGAATAGTGTGCACTGTATGGTTGAGTACTTTTGTACTTTTTTTTATTTTTTATTAAAATGTTTATTCACATTTTGTATTTCTTCTTTTTTTGTTTTGTGTTATTTGATTTCACTCTAATGAATATACAACAAGGTTTGTTTATCGATCCATATAAGGTCTGAACAAACTACTGGTCATCTTCGAATGATTGACTGACTGACTCGATCAACAAAGAAGTAAGCGTGATATCCGGCTATCAACCAAGGGACGTGTGTACTGCTCAGCAGTTCGCTCCGTCCTTCTATATGGCTCTGAAACATGGCCAATACGAGTTGAAGACATGAAAAGGTTGACTGTTTTTGATCATAGATGTCTACGATCTCTTTCTCACGTTAGGTCGTATAATAAGGTAAGTAATGTTGACGTTAGGCGTAGTGTTGGGCAAAGAGGGAAAATCAATCGAAGAGGCTATAAAGTTACATAGATTGAGATGGCTGGGTCACGTGCTGCGCATGCCTAGCCATCGCCTCCCCCGACGGGCATTACTAGCTGATATAGGTGCAGGTTGGAAAAGAGTAAGTGGTGGCCAAAAAAAACATGGCCTCATCAATCCATGAAATCCCTGACAGTTAAACTGAGTCAGGTAGGGAGATGCAGACTTCCGGGTTGGCGCCCGCCCTCGGGACTCTAAGAATCAATGGCTGGGGACAATAGGTGACATGGCTCAAAATCGTTGTCAATGGCTTACGCAGATGTATTCAGTCTCTGTAATCTTTCATATTCCTTTCTACTATTACTCATTCTGTTTCACTCTTATACTTGTCAAAACTCTATTGATTCTCTTCACTCATATTTTTGTCTACCTTTATGTGCGATTTGGAACGTGGCAACTCGAACTGTTGCACTTCGGTGCCAAGTTCTATGTTGAATCCAGACAGACAAAGAAGTAAGAGATGTAATTAACCAGTTTGATAAACTTAGCCCCCTTGAGAAATTTCAATAAGGAAAGAAAGACCAGATATGTAGTATAAAATTATATCATCATTTTATTTCACAGGTTCTCATCAGCTGCACATCACTACCTCAAATTACAATGGTTATAAAACAATGAGTAAAATAACATTCTTCAGTGTGTGAATAGTAGTAAAGATAACATTATAAAATCGATGCATTCAAAATATAAGCATTACAACTCTTAGTTTAGGTTACCATGACCTTATATTCTTTCAAAATAGAAAAGTAGAGGGAGGGAAGGTAGAAAACAGAAAAATCTAAAGAACAGTGTTAGCATGTAGGCCATCAAAAGAAACTCAAAAAGGTTATAGTTAAAAAGATTGGAAACTAGCTCAGTGAGCTGAAATCACTTATATGAATGACTAATCAATACAATCAAAATGCAGTTACCAAGGAAGTGAGAGATTAGGAATACACTCTGTATGCATAAGTTTTGTTTGTAACGTCTGAAAGTAATTGCTTCAGTGATTCGTAGTAAATTTACTGGTCTTTGTATGCTTAATATTTTCAAGGATTCAGAAATCTTGATGAAATGACCCGTGTTCACAAGGAGTCTAGTAATTGTACTTTGAGAATATCTGCTTCCTTTTAGATATAAGTTTCTTGAAATATGCTCTGAAAACTGGATTGAAGCCCTACTTTCTGTTCCTCCAGTGTACTTGCTCCCGCAAATGAACGTAAATTTATAAACGCAGATGGAATTGACATCAGCAGGTTAATTATCCAGTTTGGACTGGCTTATAAAGCATGTGGTGCTGTATTGCAAACGTGACGAGCTTAGCTGCAGGGAAATATCTTTCAATTGCTCCTTTCATTCTCCTGTCAATCTCTTGTGATAGTGCTTCTCCTTTGAATGGGAGTCAAATGAACACTTTCTTCTTTTCCACCACAGTTGGGTGTTTCGTCTTCTCGTCCTATTCTTTGCTGTACTTCTGGATAAATCACCTTGGATACTCATTTCTCCTTAGGCATTTTTCAACAAGACTTAATTCTTCTTCCACCTTGAATTATCTGAGTTTTAATTATTTTTATTACAATGCATTCCTTTAGTCCGTTTGGGTCGTATGGTATCTCTTTCAGCCTGCTTCTATGACTACCCATAAGCTTGTATTCTCACTTCACATGACGGCCTCCGTGTGAACCTGCAACGCCCAGCTCGTCACTTTCACACTTAACCGCCTTTGTGTATGATGAAAAAGAAACGTAGGGGAAAGGAGAAGCAATTCTCAATAAGGCTAAAGGCAGTATAAGAGATCATTATTGTCTGAAATGACAGTTATATTGACTCATTTACTCACTAATGTTTGGAATTACTCGTCTTACTTGGTACTGCCAATAGCCATTTTAATATACTAAAGACTCTTTCTTCTTTATTATTGATGTCGCGATCTTGTTTGCTTCGAATGCTATTAGTTGAAAAATAAAATAAAAGGAATTGTTGACCAGTGTAGAGACTATTCTTCAGTAGATTTGCAGCTAGCTAGTTGCAGTTACAATTAATACAAGGCAAGAAATTTTAGAAATTAGTCTAAGTGATGTTATTTATATTGTTATTATTCTCCTGGGTCCTGAGAGGAATACAAGGATTCAGTATTACACCCCCATTCCAGTCTCTTCTCTGCAGTCCTCTTTAGCCGGTCCCACAACTGCTCATACGATCTCCTCTATGTCACCCTTGGAATAAAGCCCAAATCGCTGTTGCCCATTTGGCTCCCGCCCAAGTGATGGCCTCGTACGCGTTGTCACTCAATGACTTCCTCACAGTGTATCCGATTCATCCCCGTCCTCTTCAGAATACCTGCTGAGCAGTATGTTCAAATTTGGTCCGTTCTCAGAGTTTCTTGGCGGTAATTACTTCTAGTCTGTCATTTGATCTTCAGTATGGAACGTGTGAAGACGGCTGTTGTTAAAGTCTGCAGTAACCTGTGCGAAATGCTTTTCGTGACTTCTATGTCAAGTTTCTAACCCACATAGAATAAATGACTGACTGTCTGAACACTGGTGTTGTTGTTTGTGCTAGGTGCAGAAGATTTGTCAACTGATTTCAGAATAATGAAAGTCTGTCTTGCTTTTACAATTCTGCTTTTGGCATCTTCACCTGTGTTGTCGCCTGTAGTATCTGAAAGGTTAGTGTCCAGATAGGTGAAGGAAGCGACCTCTTTCAGAATTACCCCGTTGATAATGACTGATGCTTTTTGTGGTTAGTTGATTATCTGGTCGTCTAAATAGTGTACAGCTTATTTATTTGAACCGAACGCAGTTAACTGTTGTCTAATCGGAGAATTTGTAACACCATGTTAACCGTATAACTGCCCGGAAAAAATGGCAGCTTGGTGTAAATGATTAATACGAGAATACCCGAAATGGAGTCTTTTAAGTAAAAGTATCACTTGTGTCACATTTGAAAAGAAACTGTAATTTTTCAGTCTACAGTGTAATAATCAGCAAAATAAAATACAGTTTTCTTTTCTAAAATTAAATCTGTAAACACACTTTTAAGGATGCTTTTACAAGATGGTGAATATGTTCTGCACTTCATCAAATTACTTGTTGCTTATAGAAATTTTCTAAAACTCATTTTTCCTTTTTATTAGACAGGTTAAATCTTAACAGGAATTCACAATTAAGAAAAGTCTATGATCCTTCTACCATATAACAGCGAAGTGAGTAGTTTTGTGGACATTTTCAAAGACTATCAGTTTTAGATATGATAGAAATTTGTAGCTCAGGTGGATGATTTTGATGTGGTTGTATTCTCTGAGATGGATAGTTAATTTGCTAGGCTTTCATCGCCCTACTAGGCGACATCTTCAGCATATACTTCAATTTGAAGTGAGTTTATTAATCATCTCTCCCGGTGACCTTAGACGTGATTGGTTGTTTTCGTGTGTTTTCACACCTTCTAGGTCACTTGTATTGGAACTAATTGTTTCTTTGATTTGAACTTTGACCCTTTGTGTGTTTGTATACCATTCCTTTTGTGTGTTATTGGATTTTTGCTGTTGTAATTCAGTATTTGGTCTGTGTGAGTTGATTTTCCAAAGCAAACACTATTCAAGAGGGCCAGGACTCATTGCAGCACTCCCACCTTAAGGAAAATTGAAGAAAGATGTTTCATGGACGTCTTCCAAAAGAATGGATATCCACGGAATCTCATCAAAAGACATATACCCGTAAGCCAACCTATCAAACCAAAAGCCCCCAAGGAAAGCACAAAGAAAATCGCCCTACCATATATGACGGATATCTCAGAAATCACTGCAAGACTCTTCAAACCTTTAGGAATTGTCGTCGCACAAAAACCAAAAAATCACTTCACTCAGTTGAATGTCAACCAAAAGACTCAACAGCGAAAGAAGATAAGACCAACATCATCTACAAAATAAATTGTAACAACTACGAAAAACACTACATTGGCCAGAGTAGACGTCTCCTTCGTCTTCGTATCCACATGAAAAACTATGAGATTTCTATGTCACTCACCAAGTATTGGAAATAAGGATAAATAGTCCAGCGAAGAGTTTCTTTTCGGCGAAATCATTCACTTGGCTGTACAATAGTAATTATTTATAATTATTTTTGTATGTATGCGTGTACATTAGGTTCGTCAAACAAGAATAAAAATTAATCCAGAGTACTGTTCATGTCATCAAAGTATTTCAAAACAATGATGAATAACTAGATGAAGTAAAAGTTAGTAAGTTTATACTAGGGTTAACGCATTATTTAAAAAATCGGAGAAAACTGCATGTTAACGAAAGAACATGGAGACAAGTCTCAAAATAAATTACGTAATAGGTGAAGAGTGTGAGCAAAAGATTTGTTGAAGGAACTTCAGTGTCATATGAAAACAACTTTGAATGAGTTTTCCCTACATATTGAGTGGCCATTGTTGAATGTATATTGAATTATAGCACTCCTTATTGATCCATTGTAATCTTTCTGTGGCTAAGTGGAACAGTGCTCTTTAACTCTTTTTTGGATAGAACAGTCATTGAACAACCTGTATAACTCGTTTCATATGAGCGATTCAGTTGGTGGGCACACACAGAAATGGTCAAATAAGATAGTTTATCTTTAGATTCATTTGAGAACATTGAGTGTCGGGAGAATACCAACCTTAATGTAGCAGCAAAGAATGTTATTTTATGCGGCGTTTGATATTCTCTTTTTTAAGGTT